CGTAGTACAAAACATCCAGCGAATCATCCTGGAAAACATAGCTGTCACACAGTATGAATAACAAAACACTGAACTTAATATTCTGATAGTGCCACAGCCATACAATGTCCCATGCTGCTTCTTCCAGTGGCTTCCCGCAATCATGATTCAAGTTTTGCAAGTTCGGATTTCTCTCTGTTACCTGCATAAAATGTCAACTATAAAAAAACTCAAAAATCTAAATAATATAGGGCTTTCTGTTCCAAAACAATGAGTTTTGCTAAAACATAATCAATTCAGTGTAGCTGGTTTGTGAATATTTGAATATAATTACTCTGAACTTGGATGGGGTGATTGATCGGGATTTTAGGAAACAAGAGAAATACTGATAAGAGGGCAAATATACTTTGGCAGCAATAGCACGCAAATACTTGGCACGAACGCCCCAGATGCGGTGCCCAATCTTTGCCTTTGTCTCTGGCAAGTGCTTTCGGGCAGCATCAACTGAAGCTAACATCTTCCGCAGTAGCTGCCGGAATATCACCTGCCACCCACCAATCACATATTACTCAAAACTGCAAATTTCAACATAGTGTTGCATATATTCAACTTTAATCATACATAAAAAAAAAAAAATATGTATATATAACAAGTAACAAGAATTTACTATTTATCATCATCTTAGATACACAAACTACCAAATCAATAATACATCAAAGTCTAGAAATTAAAATGAAGAAAACACAACTGAAAGAAAATTGATGTCAAGAAATGAATAAAATAGTAGAAACTCACACAACGCTGAGTTGAGTTAAGTTAAAGCTTTGCGAATCAGAGAAAGAATAGCTAGCGACGCACAAACATAGACTGAAATGTATAAAAAGAAAAAAAGAAAAGAAGGGATCTAACCGATGGTTTCTTCGGTAGCGGGGTTGATGATAGGGATGCGCTTCTTCAAGACAGGTTCTCTCCATTCACCGTTGATGAAAAGCTGACGACTTGGGATCGGGGTTGCCATTATCAGAGTTGCTTGGTTTCAGGGTTTATTTGGTGACTGCCACTTCTCACAGTCGGATGGCACAAAATCAAATAACGTACGTGATACTGTATCTTCACCCCATTATATATCGAAAGAGAAAGTACGGCTTCTGACACGTGACCGTGCAATCCAATTACATCGCATCACAATTAATTTTTATTTTCTCGAAAAATTACCTTCACCCCCCTCACCTATGACTTAGAAACAATATGTGCCCTCTTTGTTACATAAACTAACAAAGTCACTCTCAATTTCAAAATTAACTGTCGGGTTGTCTTAACATGTGATTGATATATTAATTTTTTTTTTATTTTTAATGTATTTAAATTATGCCATTAGGACACACATTAAAAAAAAACCTTAATTATTAAGGGTTATATAGGACAGGCATTAATGTCATTTTATCATGTGTATATACCAATAAAAAATAAGTAAATTATAACATCAAAATACCAAATAAAGATCAGCCCCAAATTTCTCGATTGTGAATAAAAGCTAACCATTTAACTCAGTTGATTTCAGCCTCATAAAATCGCAATATGAGTCTGTGAGGCTGAATGTGGAAGTTTCATTAATTTTCTTGCAAAGATATTTTTACGATGATTTTTTTTATATATATACTTTTGGAAAACTTCAAATGGTTGTATAGTAAGAATGGGGTTACAAATGAGTTCTTGAAAATTAGGGGTTGACATTTTTTAAAACCATGCATAAAGAGGGACAGTAAATTTTGAGTAATAATATTTTTTCATCTTACTTATTTTTAAAATACTATTTTATTATTCAAATTTATCATTTATTTCCGATTTTGATATCATTGCGATCTCACACCACCATCATTCTCTTCTCCGATTATTACTTACCAAAATCCTTCAACCCTTATTTTCACCGACCGCGCCAATTGCTAATAATCGAGTGATTAGGATTTGCATAGCCGGGTCTCCTAAGTCAAAATTCGATCAATTCTAACCACCAAAATCCAACCTTCCACTACCAAAAGACTCATCGACGTCCCCTTTTTAAAAGCCCCAACAGTTTGAAACAAGTTTGTTCTTTGTTTATGTCGGAATATAAATTTTGGTAATAAAGTGGTATTTTAAAAATCTGTAGGTGAAAAAGTATCATTAAACCATTATTTGGGTTGAAAAAAAATTGTTTACTTGAATGTGAATATAAAAAGATAAATAATTAATATTAATTATAAAAAATGATTATGCATAGTTGTTGAGATATGAACTTAAATTCGGATACAATGAATATAGCAGTCTTGTTTGTTCAATCAAATATATGCATGCAACCAAATCAAATATATGCATGCAACTATCTGTACAAAGAGACATAGTGCTTGTTATTGATATTTGGGGCCCCTTTGGTACACAACTTTTCAGTATTATATTCAAAATACACATTTATTTCCTTATTCTCAAAATATTATTCTATATTATTCAATTTTTTTTAAACCTCTTAAATTTGTTAATTTAACTAAACACCAAAAAAAAAAAAAAATTTAGAAATTGACAAAAACACCCCAGCAACCCACATTTGCCAGATTCCGGCCACTGCCGCTGAAAGCTGGTCAGAATCTGGTACAATGGCGTACTGCCGGTTAGATCTGGCCGATAGTGTACTGATCTACCATTTTTCAGTCAGATCTTTGGCTGTAGGCAGTTGTTAACGACGGCCATATCTTTGGTCGTCGTGAACGACCAAATGCAACCAGATCTAACCATCAATGGCCAGGTCTAACCGTAGATCTGGCCTTTTCTGGCCATATCGGCCCACGACCAGCTGGATCCAGTCGATCGTACGTCAATACGGCGACTCTGACCACCCTCTGGCAGTGGTGGCTGGCTATCGGTATTTAATGGGTAGGTGAGAGTGTTTTTATTAATTTTTAATATTTTATTATAGGGGTGTTTAGTACATAAACAAACTTAAGAAGTATTTTTATTAATTTTTAAATCCTACATCGTAAAAACTACCTAATTTTATTTTTTTAAAATATTATTCTACAAAGTATCAGAATCATTAACCGAGTGCACCCATCTTCTAAAAAAATGTTTTTATTTTTTAACGAGATATGATAGGATACGAAGTTGATGAAGAGTCAACAATTTGATCCATCGGTCGGTCTCTTATGCTAGCGTCTGGTATGTGTGCGTAATTTTTGGGATAATTACATGTTAATTTAGGTCTCCGAGGTTTAATCTCTTTTGCATCCACTAAAATCATAAAGTAACACTTTAGTCCCTTTGTAAATGGATTATTTTCACTATTGTCCTTAAGGTTTGGAGCATATCATATAAACTCCAATACTATGGGATATGACTTGCAGCCCACTCTCAAATAAGAGGAAAGTCGGGAGAAAAAGGGGTCTCATGTGAACATGCGCCATGACCTCTACAAGTAACCACCCATGATCATACACCTCTATATAAGGAAGTGGAATTCAAGGATTATGCACTTTATGCTTACATTCTATATGTAATTTCATTATCCACTATTGTAAATTGCATCTTTATACCCATTGTCATTAAAGGGGCAATAAAAGATCATCACAATTTTAGCTCAAACATGTATTATTTTACTTAGTTTATAGATATTTGCAACGCTTTTTTTTACTTTATGAAAACATCTTTTTTTTTTTTTTTTTTTTTTTTGTTCGACTAACTTACACATACTTTAACTAATTTTGGTGTACATTGAACACCCTACAAGTCCAAAAGATAAGGAAGCAAACCTCTTTGATCGCTAACCCAACCCCTTAGGGTTTATGAAAACAAATGTTATTGTGATAAGTGATCCCAAGGTTTGAATCCAAGAACTCAAAGAAATAAGCAAATCTCTTTAACTGTTAGGTCAACCCCTTAGGGTTTATGAAAGCATCTTCATTTCATAATTATATCAACTAGACGAGTGAATGTATTCTATTAATACATATGAAAAACATTCAATAATTTGTAAATTCATATCTAGAATGATAAGGAGTTTATTACTCTTCCTAAATTTTATAATTTGAATGGACCAACTCCTACTAGAGTTACAAAGGGAGTAGATTACTTAGAGAAGCAAACCTTTCAAGTAGTAGTATCAATGTTTTAATAGCCAACCAGGGGTAAAACTTAGCAAAGTGGCTGAGTCTCGAGTTGGTTGATTTGACCGGTTTGATTGGTGGGTCAAATCAATGTTCAAAAGTTTGAAATATAACAAAAACACCCCTAAAAATTACTATATTTCCCTACAATTTGAAATCTTACAAAAATACCCTAAACACTACGGTCGGCGTCGATAAATCAAGGCAAATAAGGCCTGATTCCAGTGACAACAACATTCCTTATCACCATAAAAACACTCCCCTCAGTCTCCTTACCGAAACCCATATTAGTTTTGCGATTTTCGGTCGATTCACTCACCGAATATCACTTCTATCGCTACCATTGAACTCACTAACCCTTCCTCTTCAAAAACCCTAATATCTCAACCTTCAATTGTTCGCTAATTACCGTCTTAATTTTTAAAGTTTTCGATAAATAAGAAAATTAACCTAAGCCCATGAAGGCCCCGAGTCTCAGTTGAACCGCCCTGACTAGGCTGCGTTTTAAAACATTGAATAGTATACTCTTAACTATTAACGAAACTCATGCCAAAATTTCATGAGTTGTAATTTTATTATTTCATATTTCAAACATTAAATTCTAGGCATGGAATAATTATTCGATTAATATTTAGTTGTTATTTTTGTCTTTTAAAGAGTAAAAGATGTCATTTAAGCGAAGATAGAATTGTTGTATCGTACTGGGCTTCATTACAAAGTCCACGTACCAATTTTTTTCAAACTAACGAAACCAGTCTTTAACGACCAACCAACCCCCCAACTAAGGCCAAAAACTGCTAACTGGATTTTATCAATTTTTTTCAAACTCAGATGCTTCTCTTACACCTCATCATATTACCCATTAATCGTAAAAAGATAGATCATAAATTTGATAGAAAATATTCAGCCATTTTTAAGTCATATGGAAAATCGTCTTCAAAACATAAGAATCTGGATCAATATCAAAGGAAAAAAACCATGAAAACTCCATATTCTACATATAAACAAAACACAAATCAAATCAATAAAAAGAAACAACAAATTAACTAAATACAACCGATCCATCAAACTAGCATATAATAAAATATGCCAACAACATCGTACTAGTGTTTCTGGGTAGTCTTCTGATACTTGTCTTTGATCCACTGAAACCCAACAGACGTCCCTTCCTTCACTTTCTTCAGCCCAGTTGAAGCCACCGCTTTCGTCTTATCAAACCCTTCTCCAACCTTCTGCTTATACTTGCCTCCCGTCCCATTGCTCTTCTTTTTTCCCTCAACAGCGACGGGGTCGGGGCCGTTGTCCCATTGATCAGCCCAGGATGTTCCAGAAGAATTGTGCCCTTCCATTATAAGAAACTTCTCAACTCAGAAAGAAGATGGAGAACTACGAAGAGATATTATATGCCAATACAATCGAGATATGTTAAGACTGGGTATTTTGTTTTGGTAAGAGACCTGGGGGGGTATAGATCTTTTATAGTTGAGTCCAAATTCGAAAAGTATATAAAATGAAGATATCGATTGGACCAATCTTAAGAGTTAAACAAATAGGTGGCTTGAATAGAAAGTCCAACACGTTTACTTTTACTTTTCTATTATTTTAATGGACAAGTATGCCCTTCTGTTTTCCCTGCAGTTTCCTTTCCAAAACTACAAAATTATTTCCTTGTTTGGACCTTTATTTTGATTCTTTTCTTCCCACCGTCTTCATTTCATTACCATATTTATTCATATATCAAATCTGACGTCAATTGCCAACATGGGAACGTGATTTAAAGCATTACCAATACAACTTTACAACCACACAAAACAGAGTGAGACAGCTCAGAATTCTACTCAATAAGGGATATATTGACAGAGTATTACAATAAATTTTTTCCCATATTATGTTTCAAGATTTTTCTTCATATAAGGCAAGGGCATTTAGGACAGTGGAATGAGAGAAACGTGTGGAGTTAATGATTCTTGAATGATCCAGAATTTTTTTTGACAATCAATAATACAATTATAGAGCAACATGTAAGAAAAAAGTCTACACCAGATCTGATACCTGATCGTTTGTGTGTGTCTTTGTGAGTGACTAAGTGTGATGAATCTATAGAGAACTCAAAGAAGACNGTGGTTCTTTTTGGTGGGTTATGAGATGAGGGATGGCGGGTGCTTGGAGAGGGATTGGGGGGGGGGGAGGGGGCGGGGGGCGGGAGGGGGGAGGAATTGTGATGTTCAGACCAATTTGTACATATTTTAACTAATCTCCAAAGATAAACATTGTTTTAAAATATGACATGTTATGAGACCTAACAAGATGACTAGATCATAGGTTGACCGGTCCAATCGATTGGCCAGATGATGTATAAAGATAGTTAAAAAAAACTTTGAATTAATCCCTTAAATTTTAGTATATTACAAAAATACTCCTAAAAATCACCAATAGGCCCTAAATTTTTAATTTATTTCAAAAATACCCCAAATAATTATGTTAGTCCCTAAAGTTTTGAAATATTAAAATCACCCCCAAAAAAATTACAAGTAGTCCCTACAAGTTTAAAAAATAGCAAAAACCACTAGAACTTGAACCGGACCGAAGAGGTTGTCAGGTCCTGATCCAACTGGCCAGTCTGGGTTTTAAAAAAGAGCTCACAAACTCAAAAAATTAGGTAAGTTATAATATGATAGATGATATTTATCTAGAAAATCAATGAAGGAAACAAATCTCCTTAACCACAAGGCCAATCAGGTTTAGTGGTTGCAATTAGATGTTATTATATAATCTGCTTTCCAGAAGTTTTAATTTTTCTGGACTTACATGCCGGCTTTAATCAGTGATCATATATGCTACTACTTTGAAAGTACTTGTTGTAGAGCAACCGTGATGTTTTTAGAGCATCTCCAGAACTTTCCACCGGGTACAAATTCCGGCTGCTCTGCCAATCATTTGTGAGCTTTATCCATTCCCTCCTCCATTCCGTCAGACGGAATCCATGCCCATTCTCCAGAGATTCTATCAAATATTTGAAATATATAGCTGCTCGGGGACCATAGTAATCTCGTACAAGTCCACTCCAGTATTTGTTTCCTAAAACAAAGAGAACAAAGGGGATTATATATTTGCAGTGATATATTATATTTATGCATAGATTTTCACATCACTAATCCTCTTACCATAGTCGCGAAGCAGACTTGCTTCGTCCTCTGAGTTGTCAAACCACATGGTTATTTGAGTTCTTGCATTCCATTCAAACTTCTTTTCTTGATCTTCATCTTGGGCAAGTCGCTTCGCACTTTCTAACCAAGGTCCTAGAAGAAATCCGTCATGGCATGCCAAGAGTTTATCCATATCTTCCACAAGTTCTAAAAACCGCTCACTGAGCTGCCCGACCTCATGAGCATCATTTAACTGATAGGCTTCTATGGTCTCTAAGAATAGCTCGTTTGCATATTTCGCTAAAGCTTGTCTAGTCAGATCGACTAAGTCATACCTAACCATACAATGAAAAGTTGCACAGAAGTTGATAAGAACAGGAAAAAAAGAAAGTAAAAAAAAAAAAAAACCCCAAAGGGCCAAACCCCAAAGAAAAAATAAAGACAAACACGGGAGGAAAGGGACCGCGGGGCCAAAAAAAAAAAAAAAAAATAAAAAAAAAGAAGCTGAAAACAATTAAGAATGCAATAGAACGACAAATAAAATGTGTATAACTTGTGGTTCCTCATGAAATACATAAAGAAAAAACACAGGAGTTCAGTAATGAGCTAACCTGTAAGTGTTACTATCTGATAGTTCATCCCCACTTGCTATAAAAAGTTCTAATGCCTGAGTTACTTCAGAAGTTGAATACCATAGATGAGGATGATCATATGAATCTGTTTGGCTCTTTACCGGTTTGCCATAGTGGTGAATTCTTTTGTGAGCTACAGAAATGAAGAATGGATCAACATCCGGGAATGCTACAATTACATCCCTGTTTTTGTCCTGTTTCAATATCACCAAGAAATAACATTACATGATAAAGAAACTATGTTCTAGTCAAGATTGACATTGATTATATAAGATCTAGGCAATGCATGTTTGTCAAATTTAGGATGTAATACCATGGGAACAATTAACAAAATAAATTATTCAAACAGGGTGCATAACTTACATAGGCACCATCAGTGCAGTTGTAGAGCGTGCGGTATAATACATTCCAGGCATCCTGTATTAAGGGAAATGATCTACCATAACGTCTTGCTGGATATTGATCAATCCATACCTGAGAGAAAAATGATTGTCATGATTTTAATTTTAAAGTATAATTTCCCTTTCTCCAATGATCCACTATTCCTCACAGAAGCACAAATGTTGAGGAAAGGAGAAAAAGCCCAATTGTCTCAAGTAGAATTTTCAAAAACAAATTATGAGTGCAAGAGGATCTGATGGAATGCATAATATATTATGCATCCAATTTATTTGACAAGTTATATCTAATTTCCAGTGTAGTTGATATTCTATCAAGTTTATCCTACCCAGTGATTCATTTCAGTCAACAGAGGAACAAGTTGTAAAAGTATGACCTGACGTGCCCAATGAAGTAGACAAAATGTGCCATGTACAAACGCTTTGTCTAGGTACTAATTAACCATATTTACTTGCATCTTAACCTTGTTAAAGCAAAGAGAGTTTCAGAAGGATAAGATAGGCAACACCTTGGCTATTAAAATTAGGGATATTATAAACAACTACCCCTAAAGTTTGCATTCTTATCATGTGGAGAACAGCTTCGCCAATTTTTATCAAAGATTTCCATTATAGTTTTAAAAGCATATCATTCTCATGGTAACTTTGTAAAGTTTTATCATATTTATCCCTCACAATTTAAAAATCATATCGTTGATATCCAATTGCCCTATCTCCATGTTTTTTATCTTTTATTTTAATTTTTAATTCTCTTTTGTAATTTTAAAAGATTTATTCAGTTGGACACTTGTGGAATAACATATTAAGAAGTATTATAATACTGTGCTCATTTAATTATACAGTCAATTTGATGGATTGAGGACAAAGGGGTGTTAGTGACATGCTTTTAGAACTGTAAGGGGTATCTTTAATAAAAATTGGCAAAGTTATTCTCCACTTGATAAAAACGCAAACCTTAAGTGTAGTTTATGATAATATCCCATTAAAATTACCTTTACATCAAGTTTGTTGTGTTGAAATGCCATTTCAGACATGAGATCATAAACAATAGGATTCTGCTCTATACCTTCCATTGACATCCCAATGCCAACCTGCAGAGAAGTTTATAGATAGGGTAAGATACATGATTGAAAGGAGTGTCCAAATCCATGTAAGCAATTACACATAATTACTCCATCTTTGCAAATGCACAAGTAATTTTCAGAGAGAAAGAAAGATAAGTTGGAATTGGGCAATTGCAATTGTCAAAGGGGCTTTGAACAAGCAAAGAGGCATCAGCAAACCAAAGCAGGGCCGCTCAACATGCATTAACGGGTATTTCCATATTCAAGTTTACTAATAACATCCACAGCAAAAATCCACTCACTTTTTTGGGAGAAGGAAGGTATCACTTATTAGAGTATGTCTGCTAATATGATTGCAGTGCAAAGTAAATTTTGAAAGAAAATATTTGGTCTAGAGATTATACTTAAGATAATTTAAGCTTGAGAATCTAAGAGAACAGAGACATTAAAATATCACAGCATTAATCAAAATGCAGCAAAAATCTTGCACAGTGACGATATGTTGCTATGGAATATGGCGAGGCAGCAAAATACAGTGAGATTTAAAAAGTAATTGACAATATTCTGGAGCAAGCAACAATTAACAAACTTGCCATTGTTGAATTTTCACTAATACGAGCTTCAACTGGTCCAGAAGCTATTGAGTCCAGAAGTCCATACATCTCAATGTTTCCTGCAAAGTTGTGAAGCATACACCTGTAAAGCAGAACACCAACATAAATAAATTTCAGTTAATCATATCTCATATTATCATTGAAGTTGACTTCATAGTAGAATTTCTTCCCAGAAAAAAGAATTTTAGAAACAATTTATTCCATGCTCAAATCTATAAAAAAACATTATATCTAGTTGGATTCCTAAAAATCATATCTCATGTTATTACTGAAGTTGGATTCCTAGAAAATTTTCTTTCCAGGAAAGGAAAATTAAAAGGGCTTATTCATTGCTCGAAATGTATTTAAAAATATTTACACCAGTTTCAACTTTGATATGTAGTCCTCAGTAGGTAGTGAAAGGGGCATCTCCTATAAATATTGAAATGCGAATATTGCTAAATATGCATTAATTTATATGGAAAGACCATAAAGAGATGCCTTCTGTAATCCTGAGAAGCTGCTCAAATAAAAATGAGGTTTGGCTGCTGCACTTATTTGACCCACTCAGAATAGAGTAATACTACACTTACAAAGAAATTTTGCAAAGATCTCCATACAAAGTGATGTGGCAAAAAATGAATGGAAGAGTAAATTTAATGAGTTTGACTTTTTGTTTCACTCTTCCATTCATTTTTTGTCACATCACTTTGTATGAAAATCTTTATAAAATTTCTTTGTAAGTATAGTATTATTGTCCAGAATATTAGTTAAAAATTCCACTTGAAAGACTGTAAAAATTATTTCAAATATTTTCCGTATTATTTATATTGATGCAGACAGGAATATAGTTGACTTTATGCATCTCGCCTTCTCGGTCAAAATCTGTTGACTTATTACATAGCCGCAGTACTTATGTGTAGGAGTTGCATGGGGCTTAGTTACAATTTGTATGTTATACTGTATATTCATGGAGTTAGGAAAATGTTTCCAACGTCTTTTTTGGAAAAGAAACTTAGAAATTAACTTAATAATGAGGAAAATGTTTCCTAGTTAATCAAATTCACTGTAAGACACTTCTAGACATGAATTTAGTTCAAGAATTATTTAGCATGCTCATTCTCGATGAGATGAGTGTTCTACCTATCATTGATAAATTATTGAAGAAAAATAAATTACCAGATGTATGGGACTCCATAAAACTGCTCTGAAGTAATCCATATGGGTTTCACTTCTGCAAACAAATCAAGGACAACCAACCTCCCCACAGGAACAGAATGTAGAAGTGCCTGGAAAAAGTAACAGCTAAACTTATTGCCTGTAAAAGGGCATACTAGTCACTGCCAGTGACAAGCTCAACATGTTAAAGGACTAGAAGGCAAGCTAATACATCATAATCTTCTGATTAAGACAATAGTGCATCAATGTAATTGGCCAAACAATGACCAAAATGTAGATATTAGTTTTTTTTCTGTTCACAGAAAGATTAACTTGTGCAGGTTCAATTTTGTGCATGAACCCTATTTTTGTTCACATAAATGGCAGAAACTTCACAATGAACCAAGGAGAATTTTCCTTTGATACTCCCCAAGAGATCATTCAAATAAATAGTCAAGCTTGCAGTAAAATCAAGCCTGACTAGTTTTTGCTCAATCCATTTGTTTAGCAAATGTAATATATTTGGTGAAATCACGATTGACCATATTTTAATCACTCCGGTTCTTTTTTTTCAGTTTTTTTTTTTTTTTCTCTACTAACTCCCCATATGAAGACAAAGAAAATGCCATAAAATCCAACTTGTCCTCAATGGATTTAATTTGTGATGCAGATTCTTCAACATAATTATTCAAACCAAATAGGGAGATCAGCAATGGTAATGTACTTAGAAATGGAAAAAAACTTATAAAACTAGAAAAGCTGAATGATAGAAGCGAAAAAATGTATAGATAACCTTCATTTGTGGAGGCTTCCAGAATGGGTCATAAGAGAACAGCCATCCCTGCATTATATGACAGATCCAATTAGAATGCTAAAAGAAAATAACATTTAATAAGGATTGAAGATGGAATATGGTAAAACTCTATTAGAAATTCAGGGCCTTGGTGGAGCAGTGACTAATTGGATCAACATTCTGACTTGGCTAGAGCATATAAACAAAATCAAGATGTGTGAATTGCACCAGTTTGACTATTAATTAAGATGATGGTAGCCTTATAAAAATTATTCCCACAACTGAATGGTAAAACTTGAAAAAATTGATCATTTTACCTGCATTAACCAAACAGCATCACTATCACCACTTTGCATTCCGTTATAGATTGCTGCACCTAATGAAGAGATGTACTCTGGGTCATCAAGCGGTGGAGTATTCTCATCAAATGTATCGCTGCAATTTTTCAATAAATCACAACAAAATTATATAGTCTAAATTAATGAGAAATTATTTATAAAATTAAAAGATAATTAAATAAGTTGGAACAATGAAAAACATAATACATTCTATTGAAAACTAAAAAATCAATAATTATGATGGCGCACAAATCAAAGCCACGGAGGAAGATCAAAAATTGAAATGACCAGCATACATTTGAAAGTAAGCAACAAAATGCTGCATAAGTCCGGAATAGAGTTACGGATGAGAAAAAAAAATGGAGATAAATAAAGATTCATTTCAGCTTTATTCAGAACTATTCTCCGACCAAATTTTGTATAATTAAGAGACGAGCTTACTAATAATATATAATGACTAAAGATAGTATATTTGTCAAAGGAAAAGCAAAAGATCTTACCAGTTGTATATGTGGCCAGTCTTTCCATACTCTGACCAAAAAGTAATTGAAGCATTGTAAATTCTTGCTTACTTATTTAGCAAATGAGTATACTGCAACCAATTTCATTTTATAAAAACCTTAAATTTAGAGGAACATGGGATTCAAATGAGCTCACCTATAAGTTGTTGCTCAATAAAAGCTCTCCCAATTTCAATGAACAAGGGATCAGTTGCATCAAGAAGATAAGTGCAGCACCATCTAGGGTCACTCTTAACAGAAAACCTAAAGCATAGCAGAAAAGAATTAGTTATGACTTATGAGGCTCTCATGTTTATGTATTGGTGAACCTTAATTTAACCAAGTAAATCCCAACTGTTGGTGTCAACTACATGAATCCTTTTTCGCAATTCAGCCTGGTCTATGTAGATATTTCAATAAGTCCTTAAGAATCATATCCTTTCTCACAATCTCAACTACTACCTAAAGCTTCCTTCAACTTGGTCTTAAACATATTGGTGTAAATGACGAGCATCTAAGAAAAGATATAGCACTCACATAAGTGCTCTATGTTAGGATATAATTCTGTTTGATCAAAGACAAAAGCACCAAACCAACCCTTAATTAGTCCTTGAGAAACTAAAAATTTGGTAGATTTCAAAACTCTGATTTAGAGAGACATCAAATGCATATTCTACAATGAGGACCTTATTCTCTTTGATGAAAAACAAAAGCACCAAACCAACCCTTAACAGCATGTATTGAACCACACCAAATTGGTCCTTGAGAAAGTGGAAATTTAGTACAGCTCAAAAACTCTAATTTAGAGACACCAAATGGATTCATGTTTGAAATTAGGCATAGCAATACTTTACCAATTCCCTAAGCGTGTTATCTTCGCTAATGGAAATACATTTTTCAGTGCTGCAGGGACATTTCCAGAAAAGGCTGGATGTACTGTAAAGCAGATTCACAAGCATTAGAAGTACACCAACACAGGGAAGAAAAAAGAAATTGATTTCAATTTGTAAATTATGTTTCCCGGATAAATTTCCTTTCAATAAGTGGAACTCTTATGGTTAACAAGACCAAATCCTTTTTAAAGTAGTTCTACTTAACTTTTGTATGTATGCATACACTATGGAAGGAAAACCAGACTCATATTTCATCAGAACTACATCAACTCAAAGTTTTAAACTTTTCAAATAACAAATAAAAGAGCATGTCAATGCAATGATGAACAATGTATTTAGATACATCTGCTCTCCAAATCAACAGTAGAAACTTTTTTTTTTTTTTAAATAAAAGCTCCTAGAGCAAAAAGACCTTTCGTGGCAAATAGAACAGCAATTCAAATATTTTCATGATAATTAAAATAATAAGCCAACCAAGATATTGTTCATGCAAATATCTGGCAGGGTTAGATAAGATAGATGGACTATATAATAAACCTATTTACTTTTTCCAATTCAGGTTTTCCAGTCTTCAGAAATTTTCTCTTGCAACAAGAAGTAGTTTAATATAGGAACTGAAAGTTGACAGTGGATGTCCAACAATAATAGTACCTGGAGTCATTCCAAATTCGTGCATTCTGGCAAGAATTTTTTTCTGGAGGATTAATTGTTGATCCAACCAACTTTGTGGTAGTGGTCCACCCCATCTGTGATCAATAAATTATTTGTTAAATGATAAATTAGAAAAGAAGGGACACAATTTATTTTAGGAAGTTTCTATTTCTAAGAATTACAACAGCCCAACTAAAGAATGCTCTTGGTCTAAGCATCATCAAAAGCCAGTTTATTCACGGTATTGAAAGGTTCCACAAAGTGAGATGTGAGATATTTATGATTTGTAGTCACTTCAGAAAAAAAAAAAAAAAAAAAAACACTAAAACATTGAGTTAATAACTAAAAGGCCAAATATTTGAACTCAAAATTTATTGCAGCACTTCTGAATAATGAAACAAGCTTGACAAGCTTACCCATGCAAATTTGCCATACGTGACCATGCTAGAAATGCAGGACCACCAAAGAAGTCAACCAAATCTGAACGGCTCATATTAAACTTCTGCTTGAGGATAAAAATGCATATCAGTAGGACATTAACTTTTGGCTACACCACTGTTGTGTATCCAAATTACCTCCATGGTAACCAATTTTCTCCAAAAGAAAAACAAGCAACATTAAAGTGTCTAAGATATCATAACTATGAAAATTTGGAGCTCATAGAATAAATATGGTATAACAGTAAACTAAAGAATACCTGGAAAACTTTTTGCCAAATAGTCTCTTGCCCTGTAAATGCCAATGGCAAATTGATGCCTTGGAGAGCCATCCAGTCAATTTCCTTTTCCCATCTTTTCCAGTCCCACCAAGCGAAAGAATCTTAGAAGTATATAATCAAGTTAATTTATATTTCTCACACCACAACTAAAAAATTCATAGCCATAGGCAAACTAAAATTTATGTTCTAGAAATATAGATTAGACATTAAAAAAAAAAAAAAAAAAAAAAACTGTTTCGAAGCAGAAACATACAGCTAGATGTAACAGCATTCTGGTAGTAATTCCAAGGGGTGGGTCTCCGAACCAAAACTCCGGCATCTTGAACACGGGGAAAAGAGCCTAACTTGGGCATTGAAGATACTTGAACACCACCAGTTTTTTCCCAAGATATATGTGAACCACACCAATGCTTCAAGTACCAGTGCAGCCCAGCCAAAACTTCAACTCCAGTTGCCCCACTTATTCTACTCAAGACCAGCCAAAATTTCCATGAGCAAGTTTTATAAAATTATAGTAATCCAGTTTTATAAACAGTCCATTTTAAGTATTTATAAATAAAAATTAAAGAATGGTTCTTTTTTTTTTTTTCCTTTCCTCATAATTCTCACACAAACTGAATCATATCTACCTTCAATTAGCTATAAAGTAGCCAATGCCACAAGACAGACATAACATTGAAAAAAGAAAAATGGAATATAGAAATATCAACTTACAAAATCTCTGGACCGTGACGTATATAGTTAGAAGGATGATTTCTAATAACAAAGCAGGTCTCTCCACCACATTGTTCCTGAAAACAAAACAAACAATAGCATAAATCAAACACTTCACCAACAATTATTTAAAATATCAAGATTGAAATTCCATCTACCTAGGTCTGTAAACGAAAGAAAAAATTCAAAAAATCGAAAACCTTAGAGATAATCCGAAATTCGAAGGCAGAAGAATGAGAAGGAAGGAGGCGTTGAAGAGCACCGTACGCCGCGGCTACTTGGACTGACGGAGGAGCTCTCTCGTGGTCCTGAATCTCAAGAAGGCGCGAGATGTACTGGACTCCAATCGTTGATGATTGAGCGAGTGTAAGAATAATTGAGAGTGCGATGAAAAGAAGCGAAATGGAGGGAAATGGAGAGTCCATTGATGAGAGTGACTAAGTGAAACAAGAAGTCTGTAATAAAGAAGTTAGAAGAATCTGTTTATATAAGTAATCGGAATTGTAGAAGATGAGAGGAAGAGATTCTGTGAATGTATAAAACAAGTAAACGAATCAAAGGCCGGCTGGAGAGAGAGAAATGAATTGTGTCGAGAACTGAAATAAGAAAGAGTTTCCATGTTTGTTCCTTGCGGTTTAAATAGTTAAAAAAGTCCAGAAATTTGGAGCCAAGTAGTTTATGTATGGCTGTATGGGCCTATGCCTTCGTTGGATTTAGCTTCATCCCTGATATTCATGGGCGTTGGCCCACCATGAATCCGAATTTTCAATGGTTTTTCATTGAATTTCCAATGTTGTTAACGGGATAAACTTCAAAATTTTTATTATAATATTTTTCTATAACATTTTTCATATAACATGATACGATAAAAGATAATTATTTGATTAAACTGAAAATAAATTTTCACTCAATCATCTTTTGTCACATTATATTGTATGAAGAAAATTAAAATGCATATCGGATATTATAAATGGAAGATGCCAAGGTGGCCGCCCAAAGCATGTAAATATCTTAACATACAGTTGATATTAAATTATACCACTTCCAGAAATGGTTAAGAACAGAAAAAGTGACCCTTTTTCCAGATTTAGAATATCTTGGTAAAAGTAGGCCTACATTATTAATGCCCCATTTACATGGTGTTAATGGAGGGTGGCGTTGGGACAGAGGCATATCTGAAATCAGAAGTTGAGATGTGTTTTCTGATCTTGTTCTTTCATTAACGCTCACCCATTGAAATAAAGGTTACTGTCACTGCCATGTGAATTTCAACTTCTCCATTAATTTGTGGCTTTCCATATATATATATATATATATATATATATATATATAGTATCTTCATTTGCCTTGCTTTTTGAAAGATGAAGGTGTCTGAAATGAAATGATGCATGGCTTCACATGCTTTGTTATAATATTACAGTCCCTTCACCAAGACAGCTCTATGAATAGGAAATTAAACCTCTATAAATAGGATTGGTATATTTTTAACCAACCCACAAAAGACAAATCTTACAAGCATTGAAAGCTTTCTTCAGCTTGGGAAGAGTACAGATCTTCATGCATGAAGCTTAGTGATGGGCTCATGGGACCCAGAGATAGCTTTGCCAGTGCTTCTAAGACCCTTATTAGGACCCCATTATTCATTATTTATCATGTAGGCAATAACAACCGACAGATGAAAAAGAAAAAAATCTCTAGTCTTTAGTCTTTTTTTTTTTTTAATATATTGATGTTGCTTTCATTCAGATATTTTACATGAAAATAATCGCCTGGGCAGGGCGACCCTCATAAAGCCTGTTTTATGGGTTATCCATATGGATAGAAAGGATTATTTTCATGTCTTAGAATGTGTTCGATAATTAAATTTCTTTTTTTCTTTTTTATATCCAAAAATGAATTTCCTAATTAGGATTAATTGTTATTAAGGACAATAATATGAAACAAACAAAGAGAATTAGTTTGAGTCCCATAATTTTTTTTTTTTTTTTAACCAGGGATTGTCCGGACTAGCTTACGCTTATCTTAACTAATACCTTAAAACTTTAGAATTATCGATTAAGTAAAAATTTCAATAGTTATCCATATTAACAACTAAGGAGAGACTCGAACTCAGAATTTATTGAATAATACACTCAAGAGTTTATATCGAACCACTCAACCATCATAATTTCTCTGGCTCATCCCGAAGTGAAATGAATCATATTCTCTTAGCAATAGAAGAAAGTGATAGCCTTAAATTCTTGGCATTTGAACAGTTTACCAGGAAATAAGATAACAATATATAATATTCGCTGTACTGAACCAGAGAAGTTGAAATTAGTGAAGATGACATAGAGAATGAAATCATCAAAGATACATAAACGATAAGCTGTGCAGAAAAATGGTGTATAATCAATATGGAAGTCAAATATATGAACTAACCATGGAAAAAAAAAAGAAAAAAATACAATAATTCCAAACTAGTTAGCTAGAAATAATAAAACTGCCTTCAAAATCCTGATAAAATTGAAGTTCTATACATTGAACTTACGTTTGAAAGAACAGTTGACACAGTTCCCAGTTGACAGTTGACACTTTGTTTGTATATACAGTACCCGAAAAATATTTCCCACCAGTCCACCACTCGTTTGTTGAGCACAAGACCTCGGCTTTCTGACAAGGTTTCAATTACAAGAGAGAGAGATGATGAAGAAAGAAGACAATCCACCAAACCCCATTGCACGTACAGTCATGATTCAGTTTGCTGCTTACCTAGGAGCTGCGTTGGCAAAATTTCTATGGAATCCCAGAAGTGTACTAATGGATTAAGACATAACATCAATATTCGTAAAATGTTTTGCCTCCCAAAAGCGAATAACAGAAGCACTTAAGGACCAAAGTTTTCAAGTAATGCATCATTTTCCGTTCAATCTTCTGTCTTTTCTGGGTTCAAAGTTACAAATCCACCAACCGCAACATGCCCCACAAAGTCGCACTAGGTTTAATTTTATTGGAGCTTGGAAAGGTCCAAAGAGCAATGATAATTTACTGGACAGAAACAATCGAGAGAGGAGAATTGGACACGTAACGAAATGTTTTGCGGTTGGAAGGGTCTGTATTCACTGTCAAAATCTTAAATTTATTCGTCCTGACGAACTTTTCAGGGAAAAATTTCAAACCTATAAAGTCGTGTATAGCAAATTAAGTGAGCACATAGCCGGAGAAGTGATAAAGACTTGTTGGCTTAAAGAGAAAGTAAAACCTAATTCACATGGGTAGATTCCACCTAATCTATACAACATTAGAACCTATGAGCCCTTTTCTTTTCTCCACCTCTCTTCCTTTCATAATCATGACCCCTTATAGCTTTAACATGAAAAACAATAAAGGAAATTAAATCCTCAATATTGATCAACCATGTTGCATACCTAAACAATTCTTCTCTGCATCTGATGCACCTATAACCGTCCAATAAGAGAGTGTATAAACAACACAGCTCTCTTATTGGACAGTTTTATCTTAAGTGAGAACCGCTAACTGTGAGCCAGACTTTTAACTTGATAATCCATATGAGTAGGTTGATTAATTAGTGAGGTTATCATAAACTGAACGTGATAATCGTTACTACTGAAAAAAAAGGCATTAAAAATGGATGATGAGTTAGATGTTTAGTGCAAGACATACTCAAAAGTGCAGGAACATGGAATTGTCTTCCACTACTAACAACAGCAATAAGATGGTGATGAGATATATACATCCTTTGCCTTGTGTTGTCCAGTTTTGGTACTTTCCTTAACAAACCAGCCTTCACCAATGATTTAACCTGTAAAATTTGTCAATCTATTTGTGGATTATCATGTAATATTCAAGATTGTTCTGCAAATTAACAGTAATAACCATGTGATGAGTTCCAGACTTTCCTAGCTGAATGCGGAGACAAACTCATGAAGGATAAAGAGTTGCATTATTGTTTTCCAATTTGAGCTGTGCCCATTCTTTATATGGAAGTGGAAGCATCCAATTTATTTCTCTGCTCCCCTGCAATCGCAAAGGACCTCCATTCAGCAATAGATTAGTGTAAAACTGGGCCACTCTTGCTTCTTCTGCGCTTTATGCCAACATAAACCTCTTTTGCTGAAGTAATCCTTTTATCACAAATGCTCTTTTCTTCTCTATATATTCACTCACTTTGCTTTCTTCCAACTCACATACTCTCTCTTCGACATGGGAATCATGCCATGCCACTCAAATTGTGATTGTCAATCTCACTCTGCCCGCTTCCAGTCAGACTTATCTACACCGTCCCTTACTTGTCAGCGAAGTCTCCACTCAGTTCCTTCCCTCACCTCACAAACCCACCAGAGATTAAGCAATGTTTCCATCATCCATTATCACTGCCTCACCACTCTAAAAGGCCACAATTCCTATGTATCCTCCATCACCCTTGCTGGGAAATTCTTATACGTGGGCTCTTCTGACAGAGAAATCCGCTCGTGGGATTGTAATCCTCTAACTTCACAACTTGATCAAGAGATTATAAACAACAACAAAGTAGCTGTTGGCAAGGGCGCGGTGAAGTCCCTAGTTGTGTTAGCGGACAAGCTATTTAGTGCTCATCAAGATCATAAAATTCGGGTGTGGAAAATCAATAACCAAGAACATGATCATCAGCAAAAGTACACTCGTTTGGCCACATTACCAACACTCGGTGACCGCGCTTTCAAGCTACTGATGCCCAAGAATCATGTACAAATCCGGAGACACAAGACATCTACTTGGGTCCATCATGTTGACACAGTGTCAGCCCTTGCCTTAACAACCGATGGGACTCTTCTCTACTCAGTTTCATGGGATCGGACCATCAAAATTTGGCGAACGTCCGATTTCAAGTGCCTGGAGTCAATTACAAACGCTCATGATGATGCAATAAACGCAGTGGCATTATCCGACGGACATGTTTATACCGGATCAGCTGACAAGAAAATCAAAGTGTGGAGAAAAAACAATGGAGAAAAGAAACATTCTCTAGTTTCAACTCTGGAGAAACACAACTCAGGAATCAATGCCTTGGCGCTGAGCACTGACGGGTTTGTGTTGTACTCAGGTGCATGTGACAGATCGATACTGGTTTGGGAGAAAGACGAGAGTGGCAACATGGAGCTCGCAGGAGCCTTGAGGGGCCATACGAAATCCATATTGTGCATTAGTGTGGTTTCTGATTTGGTGTTGAGTGGTTCTGCGGATAAAACCATTAGAATTTGGAGAGGAATTGATAGAAATTACTCTTGCCTGGCAGTTCTGGAAGGTCACAAAGGCCCTGTCAAATGTTTGACTGCAGCCACTGATCAGTATTATAATCACTCTGATACTACTTATCTTGTTTACAGTGGAAGTTTAGACTGTGACATCAAGGTATGGAAGATTTTTGTTCCTCTCCATTAAAAAAAAAAAAAAAAAAACATTTTAATTCTCACTCTTCTTCTGGAGATTTATGTACATACAGCAATGAGATTGTGTAATTTCTTAAGAGTTTCACTTTATTTTCCTGGAAAATTTATGTATGAAAATAGTGGCAAGGGCCCAAAGGCAGGTTTGTCCAAGAAAAGAGGGGATGTATCTTCCTTGCCTAATCAATGCATAACTGTACTCATACCCCATTCAATGGATTGGTTTGTTTTTCTTTTAATATATGAACTGAAATTCTTTTTTTTATGAACATTTTAGTTGGATTGTGGGACTCAAAAGAGACAGCCATGGCCGGCTGTAAAGTCACTCACTAATACCTAAAGTATTGATTAATGGCGATTTTATTCTTGCTTACCTTCCAATTCTTGAATATATTCTTGTTAATTTTCACACCTTTTTAGTAAGCTATATTATTCAGATTGATCTACGAACAACTTGCCCTTTCTTATGTTACTAAAATATGGACAAATATAATTTCTTTCCAGGAAAGAAAATTAAAATTATTTGAGTTGTAAAAGCTTTTGATTGAAAGAAGAAACAAGAAAAGGATATATGCACATGTGTTAATGACGGTTTGTGAATCAGCAACATATCAGATAGGTGCCCTGCTGGAAATAATAGATTATTTTAAAGGAATGCACAATCGTATAAAGTTGAGTAAGTAGACGAATCATGATAACATGTTTCATAAGTAGGAATGTTCTTCTAAATCTCTCTGTTATAAATTATTGTCATTAATTTATATAACTTGGATAGGACAAGTTTTCTGGGTTTTTTTTAGCATTTATTTATGAAAAATGAGGCAGGAAAATGAACGAGAGAACGAGTAAAAGACTTTTTTTCCACCTAAATAATAGTTTAATAACATTTTTCTACCAATCGACTTTTAAAATATTACTTTATTACCTAAATTTATATTTCATTCCCGATTCCGACGTCGTTGCGACCCTACACCATCATCATTCTCTTTCCCTGTTATTACTCACCAAAACCTATCAAACCATACTCTTGTTAACCCCACCAATCGTTGACAATTGAGCGATTAGGGTTTGTGTAACCGTTCCTCTCAAGTCAAATGCCGATCAATCCTAACAACCAAAATCCAACCTTCCACTATCAAAAGACTCATCAATCTCCCCTCTTCAAAATGCTAAATAATATGGACTAAGTTTGCTCTTTATTAATGTTGAAATATAAATTTAGGTAATAAATTAGTATTTTAAAAGTTTGTAAATAAGAAAGTATTATTAAACCTTTATTTAGGTGAAAAAAGTCGGTAACTCCTGAGAAAACTCCCACCACTTCCACTTCCACTTCCACCTTTCGGTTATGGAAAAGTCAGTAGCTTTTAGTAAACGGGTCCAGAAAGAAGATGAGGATTGAATTAAATTGAATAAACTCTTTTAAAACAAATACTGGTTTACCAAATTAGTAATTATTTTGAATAAACAAACACAACTTCACATCAAATGAAGATTAAAAAACTTAATTAAGATAAAACAAGACACCAAGGCAGAAGAAACCTGATGTCATAAAGTATCTTCATCAGTTTGACCTCACAGGTGGCGGTAAAGTTAGGTAAAAGTCATTTTATTATGGCACCTTTCTTCCAACCCATCTCCCAAACTTAACTCGATTCTTTAAGAGAATTGGATTGGCCTGGGAAGACAACCGGATGAGGATTCATTGACTAATTAAAACACCCATTACAGTAACCATTCCGTGTTATCTCCTAGAATAAGCTATCAACACGTATCAGTGTAAGGTGAATAGTTGGTAAAAAAAAATGCATGCGTACTTTTGACCTGAATATAAAATATGTAATTAAAGAATAATATGATATTTAAGTTTTATACTTAAGTCATCAGATCAGGAGTATTAGATTAATTAGGAACTGTCTATCTCTTGAACCCCATTCAACATTCTTCACTTAGATAGCATAACAATATATGTATGCCTGCAGGTAGGAGTGAGCATGGATAAAGGTAGAACCAGAACCGGAATTGGCCCCATTAGGGTCCGATTTTGATTTTGGAAAATTGGAACCGAGAATTCCCAAGTCTGGTTCTGGTTCCTACAGTGTTAGAACTAGGAACCAGAACCCGAACTGAGGTCCGGGTACCCGGATAGGAACCGAGACTGAATTATAATTTTTGTAAACTATTGGAGGTATATTTGTCATTTTTTTTTTAAAGTAAGGGGTAATTAAAATTAACCTGGGTTTTGGTTTCAAATCTTAAGAACTGGCCAATTCCAGTTCTGATTCCTTCAAAAAATACAGGATACCTAGAACCGATCACCCCTACCTGCAGACGCAAACAGAGAGATTGGGAGAGCAAGTATCTTATCACAAAGATCGTATTAGCCAAGAAAATACCCATACAGATAGAATTTTGACATGGCTAAGGAAATGTATGGCAGCCGATCATATTTCTCTAATAAGCAAGTGTGTTTAGTACAACCATTTCCAGAAAAATTTCTTCAGCAGTTCAAAAACAATTTACCGAAAAATTATAACTAGAAAAATATGGATTTCATCATGCTGCAGAAACAGACCAAATATTACGTTTCTTCTCTTCTCTGTTATATCTATGTTATTAATAGCATAAATGTAAAAATCATAATACAAGTTATCCATAAGCAGTTGGTGGGGTGCAGGAAGGAGAATGCAGTAAATACAAATGGCAGAACCAGCATCCAATTCATCTATAGTGGCATTTTTGCTGGTGTACCTGGATCGCGGGGATACTTTTTTGGAGTAGGGCGATCTTTCAAACATACAATGGCAGTTCGTTGTCCATATGGGCTCTGAGATTCCACTGCATGCAATTGAAGAGTATATTTATCACTTGAACTAGGAATATGAACAGATTTCAATCAAGGAACCACTCAGACCTATATTTGAAATTTTAAAGCTTACTTAAACTAAGAAATGATATCGCATCTAACTGGCTTAGATGAAGGATGAAACTAAATTTACTCATGACCATTGACATTATACTGACGGCCAGCAACCCTGGACCATTGTCATTTAAAGTGTTCGGTTATATACTTGGATTTGTGTCCATCGTTCTCTGAGACGGTACCTTACGTATTGTAACATTTGAAGTAACAAGTTGCGATTTGAAACGTTTTCGTGCAGTTCTGAACCGGACTTTCATTCCAAGTTGGTTTGTACTGTTATGAAAACTGATTATACCAAAAGGAACCGGACTTTCATTCCAAGTTGGTTTGTACTGTTATGAAAACTGATTATACCAAAAGGAATCTCGTAAAGACACGTAGACGGTACGTTAACGTTCGTTACAGAGGGATTAGACCAGGGCGGGTTAAATGCTATCCGTACCCCTAGAGAAAGTCCTAATATTAAATAACGTGTCAACAAGAACTATGATGACATTTTAAAGTTAGAAGCAATTAACTAACCAATAAGTATATGCATTACCACAGACATCACAGAAGGATAGTACACACCTGAACACAGTTGCAATAAGGAAGCACCCATCAGCTGAACTGCTCTTTCTGCATTTCTAACTTCCTCCTGTCCATAGTGTATCAAATGTAAAAGTTAGTTCTAGTTGTCATAGATTGGAAAGAAGGAAAGAAAGATCAATTCTCCTTGCTAGTAGAGGCATATAAAAGTATACAAGAACTCTTGTCAGTATTTGCACATTCCACACGAAGTTAATATATATATATATACATAGTAAATGAACTGAATCTGAATTGACCTTTTTACTTGGAAAAACAAGTATACAGAAAACTGCAAGTATAAGATCAATTTTTCAACATAATGAAGAGCACTTCGATTTGCAATTCTAATTACGATCCAAATCTGTAGTACAAATATTTACCTTAGGATCGTGACCCTTTGCAGCAACAAACAACCCACCAACACGAACAAGGGGAAGACTGTACTCAGCTGGAATCAAATGAAAAGAGACACACCAACTTAAGCAGGAACGAACCACTTCAGTCCTAAACACAAAAGAAATCATGACGGGAACTCATCATAATTACCTAAAACTCTCATTTCAGCAACAGCTCTGGCCACTGCTACATCAAATTGCTCTCTAAAGCTTACATTTTGCCCCAAATTCTGTTCTATAACAAAGGTTGCAAATTATTTAGCCGGTAGCAGGTTAACGGTGGGTAATACACAAAAATTTCACACTGGAGGCTCCAAAGAAACTAAGTCATTATGGAAAGGCACTCTCTGACATGCATTAATCTGATACAAAGCAAGCCACTGTATCATGAAAAAGACGAAAATTCAAAGGAAGCATCATTTGCAATTCGAGAACAAAAATTACATGCTCTACACAGCAAAAAAATTTATTAATTGTTCAATCAGAAGTTACTGTCATCAACTTGAAACTGTATTCTGTCTTGTCTAATCTTGGCGACATAAGGCATTATTAAATATCAATAGTTCAGTTACTCCATAATTGATGATTTATTCAATTTGATCTGTGAAAAAAAATTCCCAAAAAGAATAAGGAAAACACCTAAAGTGGAAAAAAAAAAAAAGAGAAGGAATAGGATGAAAACTTTTTCAAAAATACTACTCAAAATAATAAAACAAACACACCCTTACTTTTTCAATTTTTTTCACATATTCACAAATTCATTACTTGTTCGACATTTTTTCGTTGTTGGGTATTGATCTCTATCATTTTCGTGTAATAAAGACCACTAAAATGGAATCTTTGAAACAGGCAAATGAATCCAGAAACAATCCAACATTAACATATCCATATGCTTAACAATGCAAAAGCAGAATGAAATGAGGTTCTTTAGAAGAATAAGAATAATTACCTCTGCCCTTCCCCTTACAACTTCAACATTTGACAACCCAGTTAAACTAACCGCATGCTCCAAGTAGACACAACGCTTGTTCATTGACTCTAAAAGCGTTACTTTCCAACCTGACCACAAAAAAAAATATCTTGATACAAAATATCAAAACTAGCCCAACAAACAAATAGAGAAAATTTGACCTTATTAATGAATAATATGATTGACCCATAAAATAACTAAGTTGAGTTAAACCACCTGGGCAAGCTATAGCTAAAACTAATCCTGGTAGCCCCGCACCAGTTCCAACATCAACAAGGCTGATATTGTTGCTTGAATCACTGCAATGTGAAGTATAATTATTACATATAGGAGGTATAATTGCAAGTGAGTCCTCGATATGCCTTTCCATTACTTCATTCACCTCTTTAACAGCCGTAAGGTTCATTCTCTACAAAGTTCAAAGCCATATTTCAGCTATGAGAACAAGAGACAGACACGATGAGACAAATAGATTACAGATAGAAACCTCGTTCCATTGAAGAAGGGAATCAACGTACAGATGAATCTGCTCCTGTTGGTGGGAATTTAGGTTTTCAAAATGTGAATAATTAAGAACTCTGGTGGTAGTTAAGGTTTTCGCTTTCGCGCCGGCTCTGTGAGAATTAAACGTGTTTGGAATTGAAGGTGAAAGGTGTTTGATTAAAGTCCTCTGAGAGAATGTTAACTGAAACTGAAAGTGGATGTTAGGAGCCTTGAAACGCCACATCAACATTATCTTTGCGCGCGCTCTTGCTGGGCCGTCCGCATATTTATTTTTAGTTTTAATAATTCATATGGTATTTTATCAAAAGGAAAAAAATATTGTTAATAAATATAAAGAAAGTAATGAATAATGAATACAGTTACTAAGTTTAAAATTAGTAAGTTATTTTTGATCTTGAATTCAAATCCCTCTTTGATTGTTAATAGGGATAGTTACTAGAGCTATTACCCAATCGATAAATTCAAGGTTTTAAGAAATTAGTTGAGATCATTATTTTAAAACCCGACCCATTTTTGAGACCCGAAAAGGTGATCAAGTCACGAGTCAACCAGTAACCGGCTGGATAGATGACGCCAGCAATAAAAGTATTTTTAAAAAATTGCAAATTAGTCTCTTAAATTTTATTATTGTACAAATTCCTCTAAAAACTTGCAAATTAGTCGCTGAAATAATTTTTTTTTAAATGCCCAAGCAAATTACGAATTAATCCATAAAGTTTTGAAATATTGCAAAAAACCCTAAACATTATTAGCCCCTATAAATTTGAAATATAGCATAAATGCCCCTAAAACCTAAACCGGACCAAAGAGGTTGCCGAGTCCCGGTCGGACCAATTGGTCCTCGGTCCGCATTTTAAAATAGAGGTTAAGATGCGCACAAGCTGGTCGGAACACCTCCAGCCAAAAAAAAAAAAAAAAAAAAAAAATTAAGGAAAATTTCGTTGATTTATTTTACAAAAGTTAAATCAGTAAGAAATGGTTTCATTAATCATTCAATAAGGAAAAAAATCTCCATTTTACAAAATTTTATATTAATCACGAAAAGCAGATTAGGATTGATGAAATCCAATAATGGTTGGGCTTTCGGCCCAATCAAACCTCCGTTGCAAGAAATTAGAAAATCACAATCGATAGCTGTAAATATAATTCGAATTCGAGTACAAAAAAAAAAAGGTCATTAGCTATTAGGAAGCATATGGTTTTATAATTATTGAATGATTAATGAAACAATATTTAATTTTGTTTAACAGGACTGGTTTACAAATACTTCATTACCACTCTCTCCATTGATTGTGATATAAATAGAACTGAGGTCAGGGATGGTTCATGGCTCAGCCATAATGCACAGACCTGCCACTGCCAGAACTCCATGGTTATGAAAAGCTCTACCAGTAAAGTCATGAATGTGGGTAGGGCTTTTTGGAATAGTATCCAGTAGAGTAGATGGTGTTTAAATTAGCAGACAATTAATATTAATCCCAGTAGATTAATAGAAGAAAAAAAAAAAAGAAACTGTAGATTAAAAATCATCATACAGAGGTGGTGCCTGGTAATTATTAGGCATAGACAAAGAGGAGTAGTAGCCGTCATCTGGGGTTAGCTAGCTGTATGAATTTAAAAGAAAGTTTCACGAGAGAGGTGGTGTCAACCCACTTTCAATTGCAATCATGATTTGCAGTTTTGGGAACAAGGCACAGTGATGATGGAAATGGAATAAGAAAAAACTTTTATTATAACTTGATGCAACTGGTCCCTCTTCCTCATGGAGCCACACCACCAACTCCTTATTCAACATTCTGGTGCCGATGGAATATATAATCAACACAATATTAAAGCAGATAGGCAGTGGGTCCAATTCCAAATTCCAGTAGCATTTCTGCAGTATCTAATATATAATATATATGGTCATTTACAGATAAGTTTTACACAAAATTATGCATATTTGTATCTTAGTGAAACATTCAATACTGTAGATTGATGTTTGCATGTCATAGAAAACTGCTACAAGTTATGAAAAGAGTGAAAAATAAGAACATAGATGGCCCGTATATATGTGAGAATTACATAACAAGAATCCATAAAGATAAGCAGACATGAAATACTGTGAACTTTTGATCTTCGAGTGAGTTTCAACTTTGGTAAAAAGATTTGAATCTCCGGAAATTTTTTTACTTTATTCTAGAGTTTCATTCATGCACTTTTTCTTTTTTCTTATATAAACTAAGTTTGTTTGCCACTAATTTCCTTTCATTTTCATATATAAAAAGGAGAAAGTGGGACAAAAGACTGGTTCATGTGGGGCTTTAATCAGAGTCAAACATAAAGTCATTGATCAAAGGTTTATATGGGTTGTTTTTGCTAACCCTAAAGCACTATATATTTAATGGTATTTTTTTATTAATGAAAAGTAGTGATTCGTTCAACTATAAACCAGTTAAAGCTTTTGCAAAACCTATGCCTGAAACTGGCACAAAATTTCTTCATCAAAATAAATAAAGATGGGAGCATGCAGACCTGCAGATTCTATGTAGCTGGAACCTCTCGCCCATTCATCGTTTAAAGTTACTCAAACAGTAAACCTAAAAACCTATACATGGCCAAGTTCAGAAGATATCTAGCTTCATCTTTTCTACTCGGTTATAATATGAATAATACGTAAATGTGCATGCATATGTTCCTTGATTTAAAGGAGATTTATCAGAAAATAATAAGCAGTTAATTAATCAGTTACATTGACTATAAATATCAACCAAAAAGAAATATATCAGCAGTGGTTAAATGAATAGGAAACAGTAAACCAAAAGATATTTTGTTAATCAGATTATTTGTCGAGTATCCAAATTTCAACGCCAGCTAGATGTATAGACAACCCCGTATTCAAAATATGCTTATCTGGGAATCTTTTCCTTTGTCTCTGTAATCAATAAAACGACAGCTCAAAAAACAAAACAAATAGAGAATTAAATTAAATTTAAAAAAGAAAAAATAAATAAATAAAAAGAAAGCTACATTTGTAATCATTTATGTTGACAGTAAAGATTATTGCATTTGAGGAACATGAACTAATGAACATTTTTGTCTCCACTCCGACCTGTTTACTCAGTAATTGCTTTTTGCGGGGAAGACAATATACACATATATATATATACAACAGCTAACGCCACACATTCTCTCTCTCTCTCTCTCGCTTGCTCTTCGATTATCTCACTCTGTGTCATTCCTGAGTTCTATGAATTATGATTCCTCTGTCATTCTTTTCTTTATTTTTCTTCCTTGTTATGTATCTGTGCCCTGCCAAATTCCCTTCTTTAACTAAACCCAATAAAGTTTAAGCATTTCCATCTCCATTGCATATACAGTCACAAACAGCCTTTTACTACTCTATTATATATTAAACTATATTTTACATTATAAAATATACTTAAAAGGGTATTTCACCTACATCGCTAATGCTGCCAAACCCCAAAACCTCCCAATCATATTTCAACTCAAAATCATACATGATTTTTGCAATATTTACCATGAAGACTAAATGTAATTGGATAGAGTGGTGAAGGGTACAAGAGGGGATGTTGCATGGGATAATTTCCTCCATGTAAAAAATTAAATAAAATAGGGGTTATTTCCTTTTTCTTACAGAACAAGAGCTGGGGCAAGAAAAAGCNGCTCTTCGATTATCTCACTCTGTGTCATTCCTGAGTTCTATGAATTATGATTCCTCTGTCATTCTTTTCTTTATTTTTCTTCCTTGTTATGTATCTGTGCCCTGCCAAATTCCCTTCTTTAACTAAACCCAATAAAGTTTAAGCATTTCCATCTCCATTGCATATACAGTCACAAACAGCCTTTTACTACTCTATTATATATTAAACTATATTTTACATTATAAAATATACTTAAAAGGGTATTTCACCTACATCGCTAATGCTGCCAAACCCCAAAACCTCCCAATCATATTTCAACTCAAAATCATACATGATTTTTGCAATATTTACCATGAAGACTAAATGTAATTGGATAGAGTGGTGAAGGGTACAAGAGGGGATGTTGCATGGGATAATTTCCTCCATGTAAAAAATTAAATAAAATAGGGGTTATTTCCTTTTTCTTACAGAACAAGAGCTGGGGCAAGAAAAAGCTAACACCAAGGGTTTCGTGATAATTCTCACACTCACAAAGAGAGAGACAGGCAGAGAGAGAGAGAGAGGGATTTGATACCTCTCTCTCTCTTTCTCTCTCTATTATCGCAATAGGTTGGATTTTTCTTCATCTCTTTCAACGGCATCACCCAACAGCAATCATCATGCCCTCCTCCTCCTTCTCCTTCCCTCTGACTTATCTCCACCATCATCATTACACCCTCACCACCACTTCAAACCCCACTTCCCTTTTACATATTCACATCCCAAAACCAAAACAACAACAACAAGAACCACCAGAAGAAGAAGAAGAAGAAGAGGAAGAAGGAAAAATAAAGATCAAAGGAGCAGGGTTTACATCTACTACATGTGATAAAAACCCTACTTTTTTTTTTTTAACTTCCGATTAATCTTTTTCAAGAGTTAAAAGGGTCTTTTTATTTCCTTAAAGGATCCAACAACTCTGCGGGGAATCAAGCGTCTCGGTCCGATTATTCGCTAGATCAAGCAAATCATACAACTACTACTTTACAAGTTTTGGCTACATGGGGTTTCTTCATTTTCATTTCACGGTGATGATGATCACTTGATTGATTTTGTTTGCATATGTTCTTATTATTATTTAGTCCGTCCTTGCAGCTTAGGTATGATTAATTTATATAAGAAGAAAAAAACTTAATTATTGTTGTATGTGTGAATGGATGTTTATTACTCTTCGATGATCTATTTCTCTCTCTCTCATTCTCATTCAATTTCTGTGTGATTTCTGTTTGGATACTGTTGGTACAGTAGTGATATTAATTTGAAGTTTGAAGGATTCAGTGTTTCTTATATATTTATGGTAATATGTAGTAAATGTTTTTCTGTTATTCTTCAAGACATGAACAATCATAAACTGTGCAAAACATTCCATTCTCACCATCTGAAAACTTTTATTAATTACATTTCTTCAACAAACTAGGGTTTCTCATATTTACGCCTCCAAAAATCATTATTGCTTCTTTCCTTTTCATAAATTTAGCCAGATCTTCAAGAGATCCATCATCTTTATCCACAGATATAAACACAATATTGTTTTGAAGGTTTATATATATATATATACACACGTAATACGTTGAATGTATTATTGTTATATACATANAAGATCGCTTAAACGACTAAGAGCAAACTGAAAGAATCTCTTAAGCGATACAAAAGATCGCTTATTATATCTGTGATTTTGCCTCGACAAGATCGAAATCACTTAAGCGACCAAGAGTAAACTGAATCAATCGCTTAAGCGATCATGAGTAAAACGGATTAATCGCTTAAGCGATACAAATGATCGCTTAATCGACAGTGCAAACAATATTCCTAAAACAACGTACCCTTTCTTCGCCGGCCTCCTCCTCGTCGCCTAAATCCTCGGACGACTCCTCTTGGCATGAATTCTCACCGGACTCTTCCTCCTGGCCTGAATTCTCGCCTGACTCATCGGCTTTAGAACCGTTTGCCGATTCTTCGCTCTGTTCTTGTGCCGCCGGCGTCTCCTCTGCTTGTGGACCACCTTCACTGATCGGATGATCCATCAGAGCAACCATTGAACTGCTTGCGCCACCGCAATCTAGGATTCGAAGTGGCGTTGGGTTTTCCTCCTCATTGTGAGTGTCATCCATGGTTTTGGATTGAATTTGGTGTCAAAGTTTGCAGTTTCGATCGAAAATTGGACTGTATCGCCAGAAATCGCACAGATTCCGTTTAGGGTTCAAGAAATTGATGTTAGGGTTCAAGAAATCGATCAAAAATTGCGACTGTATTCGGTTTAGGGTTCAAGAAATTGATTTTAAGGTGCAAATTTGCAGGTCGATAGGAAAAAATCGCAGTCTCCCTTTGGTTCAAGAAATCGCTTTTTGCCCTAATGAATTTCGATTAAGCGAGATGAATAGGTGGGGCTTGTTTTGAGAAATTTCGAATTTTAACAACTTTCATTATTTATGATTCGGCCCACATATGTTTTAATCTTTTCATTTTACATATGTTTTAATCTTTTCATTTTAACCCATTTTACATGTTTAATTAATCCTAACTATGCCACGTCATCTTCTCTAAATTAAAAAAAAAATGAAAAACATTTTCAAGGCCATTTTCTTAAATCGAAACTTCGGATGGCCGGGCAACTAAATTTTCTCCTTTAACGGGTGCTAACTTTGGCATAATGTGTAAAGAGTTTTTTGAATACATGTAACATTCAAAAGGTTGATTAATTAATTCACAATTCTGAAATTGTACCACGTTTACCATGTTCAGCCGTCCAATTTTACTTACATATTAAGTAAACTCTTAATTAAACTAGCAAAATTAAGATAACTAATTATTATTATTTTCTTTTTTTGGCTGGAGATGTCTTGACTAGTTTATTCATACTTCAACTAATCTCACGGGACTGTGAAATTATCAACCAGGTAAAAGTTTCAGTAGTTTCCCTTATTAGCAATCGAGGAGGGACTCGAACTCATGATCTTTTGAATAATATATTCAAAAATCCTTATCGAACCATTCAACCATCCAAAAAGAATTAACTCACTATTCAATATTCGTAAATTTTGTTTTCACTGATTATTTTATGGTCACATATAATTTAATGTATGGCTTCTTTTAGTTTTATACTCAGATTCATTTTGCAATGCTTTAGTTTATAAAAAAGTATTATATTATGGTGAGAAAGTGTTGAACGTGACATACTGAAGCAAACAAAAAAAAGAAAAAGATAAGTGGTTAATTCCAACATAAATTCTATTTAATTTTTATATAATTAAAGAAGAATGATTGGCTTCCCTGTAAGAGCAAGACGCAATACAATGTAGTTTTATTTATATCCATGAACCAGAAAGTAGATTTGTCTCATTGTTCCATAACCAAGGGGCTTGCGGTTGGCCCATCTTCACAGTTACGAGCCATTCAGCCATTAAGTTGGTATAATAATAGTTGTTCCAACTCTGCTTTATTAATAAAGTCTCGAAATGTGGCATGGCCTGTGGGTGGCTTAGGAGTTCGAGGGTGTCCACTCCAACATGCGCGAACATCGAAGACAAAGCCTTGGCAGTTGGCATTGTATATTTTGGATGTTAATTAAAGTATTAAACTATGAGTGACAGCTTATCATACTGTATTTAATTACAAAGAAAAAGAACAATTCAAACATGTAGATGATATATGAATAAATGGTGGAATCTTCATCTTAAATAAATGGCCTGTAAACTCACACTTCATTGGTCATTCATTGCCTTTCTTATTAATTTCACCTACTACTGTATATGTAACCTTGCAAACGTAAGCTGGCCTGGGGGAACTCATTTGAGTGTGATTATCCATTTAAATAATTATGAATAGAAATTTGGTAATAAAAACAGTAGCATGGGGGGCAGGGCAGCATCAATCAGCTAGGCTGGCAAATGTTGTTGGCTACTGATGACTGAAAGCAAATTTAGTAACTGGGTCAATGTTTAATTTGGAATATCTTATTAAGATACATCAACCCCACTTTTCTATTTTGATTTTTGCAAAGTGCCTATGTAGTAGTCAAATTTCAAAACCCACGACTTTATATACCTAGCAATTGTTATTTCAGCATCAGGCGACTTTTACTACAAGCGAAGACAGGGATCGCCTCATACATCCAATATAACAGAAAGCTATTAATATTTACCTGCACTACCCATGGGAAGCCAAACAAATTATACGTGCTTGGTTTATCCTTCCCGACCCATTGGGCATGCTTTAACGCCATGTTTGGTTTTTTCAAGCTGTTGATGGTTCGCTCAAATGATATTCGTCCCCACGGATAAGAATTAAAGAACTCCAAGTCGCCTGCAAACAATAACTAGTCTTTCTCAACAACTTTTGTTGAGTCACCAGCCAATAAGATAGAATGTAAAAACAATAGCAAGCACACTTGTATCTTCTCTCCATCATTAAACCGAACTGTTTCTAGCCTCTCCTCTAAAACGTGTCCTGTAATAGACTTTGCCCCTTACAAAACCTTCTTACGAAACCTTATGGCTCTCGGACTCGTCCTTATTGCCTCTGCCTTATCTGGCACTTCCCCGCATCCTAAGCCTATCACCAAGGCATACTCCATCATCCCAAACCGTAGTGGCTTTCCGTCTACTACGAACCACATTTCTTTTTCTTTTTTTGTATTTTACTAAGTGCAGTAACATGTAATACACTCCATGCCCCCAAAATGTCTTTTTCCAATTTGTTCCTATTCTTAAAAACTGATCGAAACAAGTGCGACGGAAATTTCTTTCACCATGCCTCATTCCAGCTAAAATGTCCCTTAATCTGTCAAAAACATCCCAACTCGACCTCATCGTCACCCTTGTAGGGAAGTAAGGCACCTTCTCACTTATAGGCTCCAACTCGTAGTCTTTACAGTTTACAGTCCGCACAATTTGCACAATCGATATAAACAAAATGTCAGCAACAAAAATAAACCAAAACAACTAATAAAAAAAATATCAGCGACAAAAAATTACCACTGTAGTCGCTTAAGCGATTTCGGATCGCTTAAGAGATCTTGACTCTGCCTCGTGTAAGATCGCTTAAACGACTAAGAGCAAACTGAAAGAATCTCTTAAGCGATACAAAAGATCGCTTATTATATCTGTGATTTTGCCTCGACAAGATCGAAATCACTTAAGCGACCAAGAGTAAACTGAATCAATCGCTTAAGCGATCATGAGTAAAACGGATTAATCGCTTAAGCGATACAAATGATCGCTTAATCGACAGTGCAAACAATATTCCTAAAACAACGTACCCTTTCTTCGCCGGCCTCCTCCTCGTCGCCTAAATCCTCGGACGACTCCTCTTGGCATGAATTCTCACCGGACTCTTCCTCCTGGCCTGAATTCTCGCCTGACTCATCGGCTTTAGAACCGTTTGCCGATTCTTCGCTCTGTTCTTGTGCCGCCGGCGTCTCCTCTGCTTGTGGACCACCTTCACTGATCGGATGATCCATCAGAGCAACCATTGAACTGCTTGCGCCACCGCAATCTAGGATTCGAAGTGGCGTTGGGTTTTCCTCCTCATTGTGAGTGTCATCCATGGTTTTGGATTGAATTTGGTGTCAAAGTTTGCAGTTTCGATCGAAAATTGGACTGTATCGCCAGAAATCGCACAGATTCCGTTTAGGGTTCAAGAAATTGATGTTAGGGTTCAAGAAATCGATCAAAAATTGCGACTGTATTCGGTTTAGGGTTCAAGAAATTGATTTTAAGGTGCAAATTTGCAGGTCGATAGGAAAAAATCGCAGTCTCCCTTTGGTTCAAGAAATCGCTTTTTGCCCTAATGAATTTCGATTAAGCGAGATGAATAGGTGGGGCTTGTTTTGAGAAATTTCGAATTTTAACAACTTTCATTATTTATGATTCGGCCCACATATGTTTTAATCTTTTCATTTTACATATGTTTTAATCTTTTCATTTTAACCCATTTTACATGTTTAATTAATCCTAACTATGCCACGTCATCTTCTCTAAATTAAAAAAAAAATGAAAAACATTTTCAAGGCCATTTTCTTAAATCGAAACTTCGGATGGCCGGGCAACTAAATTTTCTCCTTTAACGGGTGCTAACTTTGGCATAATGTGTAAAGAGTTTTTTGAATACATGTAACATTCAAAAGGTTGATTAATTAATTCACAATTCTGAAATTGTACCACGTTTACCATGTTCAGCCGTCCAATTTTACTTACATATTAAGTAAACTCTTAATTAAACTAGCAAAATTAAGATAACTAATTATTATTATTTTCTTTTTTTGGCTGGAGATGTCTTGACTAGTTTATTCATACTTCAACTAATCTCACGGGACTGTGAAATTATCAACCAGGTAAAAGTTTCAGTAGTTTCCCTTATTAGCAATCGAGGAGGGACTCGAACTCATGATCTTTTGAATAATATATTCAAAAATCCTTATCGAACCATTCAACCATCCAAAAAGAATTAACTCACTATTCAATATTCGTAAATTTTGTTTTCACTGATTATTTTATGGTCACATATAATTTAATGTATGGCTTCTTTTACTTTTATACTCAGATTCATTTTGCAATGCTTTAGTTTATAAAAAAGTATTATATTATGGTGAGAAAGTGTTGAACGTGACATACTGAAGCAAACAAAAAAAAGAAAAAGATAAGTGGTTAATTCCAACATAAATTCTATTTAATTTTTATATAATTAAAGAAGAATGGTTGGCTTACCTGTAAGAGTAAGACGCAATACAATGTAGTTTTATTTATATCCATGAACCAGAAAGTAGAATTGTCTCTTTGTTCCATAACCAAGGGGCTTGGGGCCTTGGGCCATCATCTCAAGCCATTCAGCCATTAAGTTTGTATAAAAATAGTTGTTCCAACTCTGCTTTATTAATAAAGTCTCGAAATGTGGCATGGCCTGTGGGTGGCTTAGGAGTTCGAGGGTGTACACTCCAACATGCGCGAACATCGAAGACAAAGCCTTGGCAGTTGGCATTGTATATTTGGATGTTAATTAAAGTATTAAACTATGAGTGACAGCTTATCATACTGTATTTAATTACAAAGACAAAGAACAATTCAAACATGTAGATGATATATGAATAAATGGCCTGTAATTCACACTTCATTGGTCATTGCCTTTCTTATTAATTTCACCTACTACTGTATATGTAAGCTTGCAAACGTAAGCTGGCCTGGGGGACCTCATTTGAGTGAGATTATCCATTTAAATAATTATGAATAGAAATTTGGTAATAAAAAAGAGTAGCATGGGGGGCAGGGCAGCATCAATCAGCTAGGCTGGCAAATGTTGTTGGCTACTGATGACTGAAAGCAAATTTAGTAATTGGGTCAATGTTTAATTTGGAATATCTTATTAAGATACATCGACATCACTTTTCTATTTTGATTTTTGCAAAGTGCCTATATATTAGTCAAAATTCAAAACCCACGACTTTATATACCTAGCAATTGTTTTTTCAACATCAGGCGACTTTTACTACAGTTGTTTCTGGAAGGTTTTTGGCTCCCAATCTACAAGTAATTCATCAAATTATTGTCGAGGGGGAGAGAATCCTATAACCATTAGGGGACGTTTGGTTGACGGTAATGTCAGATTATTAGGGTAATATCATCTGATATTACTTGATTACCACGTTTGATGGCCGAAAACGGCCATATCAGACCAGATCTGGCCGAAAATGGCCAGAACTATTCTGGCCATTATCGGCCAGATCGGCCATCAATATGGTCGGAAACGGCCATATCGAAGCCTCTTGGTCACGGTGAGTTGCTGATGGGGACTTTCGGAGACTTCCGGCGGTGGTCTACGGTGGCGGCAGGAGACGGGGGTGATTTCGTAATAAATTAAAGTTTTATATAAGCAGGGGTGTTTTAACTAAATCTGAAATATTGGAGGTTAAAAGAAATTATTCAAAAATTAATAATAAAAATAATATTATATTAATATTTGTAAAAGGGATAATTTAGTAATTTAAATAATATACCCACCAATTTATTCTCCATAACCAACCATATTAATATAACATACCTACCAACTAACCAAACATGTTTTTTTAAAGATTCTCAGTAATCTTTTAAGGTAATCTATCTTTTCAGTAATCCGACATTCACAGTAATCTAATATTCCTGAATCAAACAACCCCTTAATTTAAGACCTAGATCAACAAATAAAATTCCAAGGTCAAAAGTAGGGCAATACTTGTGTCAATCGAGGAGGACAAGAATCAGTTGATTTTATTTTTCTATCAAAATCACTTCATTCATATCATTCATATACATTAACTTTATGTTATGATTTGATTGAAATAGTCGAAACCAAGATAAACAACGTTTCATCCCACATGACCAGACAGACCAGTCAATCTTGTAATTGTAAACCAAAACGAGTAAACTAACCAAACAAGCCAAATTACATTGACTAAAATTAAATGAACTCAAGTGGCATTTTCGGTAAATATCTTCACACTTCCAGGTTAAACTTCTAACAGCGTAACCTAGCTTTCACTAACCTCAGCCTTTAACATTAACTAGTCAAATCTCTTACAATCTCACCACCACGACCACCTCAACACCCAGTCCCAGAGAGGCGGACCAAGTCTTCTCCTACTTCCTCATTAAGTATAAAGCCCAACATATTCCGCTCTTTATTTTTATTTATTTATTTCCTTTTGTTTCTTTAATTTTGCTTTAGCTTTCAAACACCATGGGTGGAAATGGCAGGCACCCTAGATGGAAAATCTCCTTCTATCATCGTTCTAGTTCAGCTCCCAAACCACCTCCTAAAGAGTTCATCTGTCCGGTTTCCGGCTCGTTAATGTTTGACCCTGTTGTGGTTTCTTCCGGTCAAACGTTCGAACGTGTTTCCGTTCAAGTCTGTCGGGATCTTGGGTTTACACCCGATTTAGAAGACGGGTCTACGCCCGATTTCACTGCTGTTATTCCCAATTTAGCTATGAAACAAACCATTCTCAAATGGTGCGATAGTTCCCGGTCCGAACATCCGCCCGTACCCGATTATAATTCCATTGATAACATCGTCCGCTCGATAATGAAGTCGTCGGATAGACCGGGGTCATCGTCAACGAAATCGGCTCCGGGTATAAGATTTTCGGAGAGGGAGTTGTTAAAAGGAGTAGCGGAGAATCCGCCGGTTATATTCTCTCACGCGGCGACCGAGTTGAACCACCGAGTCAATCATTTCTACTCGAGCTCATCGGAAGAATCGGTGGTCGTGGCCCCGTCGAGTCCATTCACTCCGTTACCTCTCACGACACGGCCGGCTTGCTGCTCTTACTCCACGTCATCGTCTTCCTCAGCTGAAATCACAGACGCCCCGCTGACATCATCGCCCGAGGAAGAAGAGCTACTGCGGAAGATGCGAAGCAACGACATCGTTTTGCAAGAGGAAGGAGTGATCACGTTACGGAAGCTGACTAGAGCTAAGGAAGATATTAGGGTTAGTTTGTGCACGCCAGCTGTGCTCTCGGCTCTGAAGCCGTTGATCGCTTCGAGGTACTCGGTTGTACAGACAAACGCTATCGCTTCCCTTGTGAATATTTCTCTCGAGAAGCCTAATAAAGTTATCATCGTACGGTCAGGAATTGTTCCCCTTTTGATTGATGTGTTAAAATCAGGTTCTGATGAGTCACAGGAGCACGCGGCGGGTGCGTTGTTTAGTTTAGCTTTGGACGATGAGAACAAGATGGCTATTGGTGTGTTAGGCGCGTTGCAGCCGTTAATGCACGCGCTTCGCGCGGGGAGTGAGCGGACTCGGCATGACTCGGCACTGGCGCTGTATCATTTAACCTTGATTCAAAGTAACCGGGTCAAACTCGTGAAACTCAACGCGGTGCCAACGTTGATGACTATGGTGAGGTCGGGTGACTCGGTGAGTCGAATGTTGTTGATATTATGCAACTTGGCTGCGTGTAATGAGGGTAGGTCTGCGATATTGGACGCGAATGGAGTGTCGATATTGGTGAGTATGCTGAGAGAGAGTGCGTTGGACTCGGAGGCGACTCGGGAGAATTGTGTGGCGGCGTTGTTTGCATTGGCTCATGGAAACATGAGGTTCAAAGGGTTGGCTAAAGAAGCGAGAACTGCAGAGGTGTTGAGAGAGGTAGAAGAAAGAGGTAGCCAGAGAGCAAGAGAAAAAGCTAAGAGGATATTGCAGATGTTGAAGGGAAGAGAGGAGGAGGAGGATGTGGATTGGGAGGGAATGTTAGAGTCGGGTGGGATGAGTCAAAGTCGGTTCCGAGTTGGAGTGAATTTGCATGGTTCCAACTCAACTAATTTTTGATTATTACCATATTTATTTTTGGGTTCTTTGTAGGTTGTAACTGTGGAAGGTAGTGAGTCGGGAGTGAGTGAGAGCGGGAAGAAACGTTTCTGTGTTGGGGGTGTAATTATTGGTGGAGGATGTTTTTAGAATGTTAGTTGTTAATAATTAGTTTTTGTTATTTTCAATGATTAATTGTATTTTGAATTGAAGTTGAGGTTTTCAAGGGTTTGTATTCTTGTACGTGTACATAAACATAAATTGAACATTTCAGATGATCAAATTCAAGTTATTATTTTGTCGGTTATGTTTCTAGTATTGTTGGTGCTGTGTTCTTCCAAATTCGACTGGATTGGATTGGTAAAGGAAGACTGGGAAGGGTGGATTTTATTAAAGAAGAAGGTAGTGGACCTAGCCGTTTGGTTTACAATGGACTTCTAGTTTTGTGTGGTTGCTGACAAAGTCCCTGGCCTCTAATTCTAGTTGCATTCTTTTCAACTGAATAGCATACGCCTATTCTGGTCTTTTACTTATTAACACATTATTTTCAATAACAATTTAAAAAAAAAAAAAAAAAACTTTGAATTTACGGATCCACTAGAATCCAAATTTAATATGTAAATTCTCTCATATTTCATATTACATAAGATTAATAAAAGATAATCTTGATTTAATTGTTTAAATTTCTTTATTATATATATCTTAATTGTACAGTTAAAAGAAACGCCGTTTTTTACTCGGATCGTCGCCGCACCAATTTTTATACCAGATCCACAATCAAAGCTCACATAATAACATGCAGAAATCCCACAAAAGAAAGCGTCTCCAGCTTCAACACTCTTCCTCAGTGGAAGGCGAAGCCCAGACCAAACAAGAACCCTACCCGACCCACACCCGACCCACTCCAGAAGAATGCCGAGCCATTAGAGACGACCTCTTGGCTCTCCACGGTTTCCCTCAAGAATTTGTCAAGTACCGCAACCAGAGACTCAATCGTAAGCCCACTGCCGAGTCTGATCCTTTCAGTGATGGTGTTAAATCAGAGCCGTTGGATGATGATGGATTGGATGAGAGTGTCTTAGATGGTTTGGTCAAAACTCTGCTGTCGCAAAACACTACTGAAGTTAATTCTCTCAAAGCTTTTGCTTCTCTCAAGTCCGAATTTCCCACTTGGGAGGATGTGAGTTTTCTATTTTTTATTCTTTCTTTTGTGTGTGTCTTGGGATTTAATGGGTTGCATTATTTTGTGAATGTGTTAGTTATATGTTTGTTTAAGGTTCTGGCTGCTGAACAAAAATGTATAGAGAACGCTATAAGATGTGGAGGTTTAGCCCCGACAAAGGCCTCTTGTATAAAGAATATTTTGAGTTGCTTGCATCAGAGTAAAGGCAAATTATGCTTGGAATACTTGAGAGATTTATCAATTGATGAAATTAAGGCTGAGCTCTCTCGTTTCAAAGGAATTGGTCCCAAAACGGTAACTTTTTTTTTCACCTGAAGAAACATTGTACCTCTATTCCTTATTGATGGTTTTTATTTTGCTTGTGTTTTGTAATCAACATATGCACTTCCCAATTGAAAATAAAGTAGTAAAATTTGGTTACTTTTACCCTCCTTAATAGCACTTGCTTGAATATATGTTTTCCTTGGATTACTAATTCTCTATTTCATATTTTCACAGCAATTTAGCAGTCTGAAAATTGTATCCTACGTATGTAGATATACTTTTATGGAGTAGTTTGTATTTAGTTAACCCGTTATTGGGATAGCTGAACTGCGGAAAATGGTTAATGTTACTAGTACCTTGTTTTTCAGACATTTGTAGTTTAAAGTTTGTGAGGTGTTCCTTGCTATTACATTGTTTGATATTGATCATTCATTTGTATGTTGTCCTAGTTTTGCTGCATTTTGGCATAATATCAAACTGGGTGGCCTGGGTGGGCAGAAAAATTCATTTATAATTAACTAACTTTTGTGATACTGAATTTTAGCGATAGGTATCTATCTATGAATTGTTTTACAGAAAGTCCCAACTGAAATCTCAATTTTTCTTTCGTTTGGAATGCCAATCAAATTTGTGCTACGTGTAATTGGAAAAATTTGTGATCACTGCATATGGCTGTATGTTACAATAACTCAATTATTCTTGTTCCTTTTCCCTCTCCCTACAGCTGGTGTTACAAAGAATGACAGTGATTCCAAATTGATCTGACTTCAGGCAAACATGCTTGGTTATAGGGAAACAGTGTCAATAAAATAGTAACATCTTCCTTGTTCTGGTGCTCCGCCATATATCTTTAGACAAGGCTGTGGTCATAATTGTATAGTAACAGGCACAATCTACTGATTGTTTTTAAACATGATGTCCCTTTTGTAGTTATTTATTTGAATGGGAATGTTGGCTTGTTATGTAAACCTTAAAAATGAAGGTTACAATCTATTTAAACTATTTAAACAACATTTTCTTCACTTTTGGAGGTAAATTGATCATCAGAGCTAAAAAAATATAGTCATTTGGGCTCACTATAAAGATCATGTTTGGCCAATTAGAGGACTGTTTCAGAACTAAAATTGGCCAAAGACAAAGGTTTCATTTATTATGTTGAGATAATCTGACTATCTGTTCAACATTATTTCAGTCTTGTGTGTGTCATGATATTCAATATCCTTTTTTTTTTTTTTTGTTTTTTCACTTATATAATATTTTCACCAATATGAAGTTATATCCATTGCTTATACGCTTGATAATTGTTAAATTCATGACAGGTGGCGTGCGTATTAATGTTCCATCTTGAGCAAGATGATTTTCCGGTGGACACGCATGTGAGTATTTAAATTTCAAACTAATTTCACCTCATAATGTTACTCACATATCTCTGGCTTATCAGGTTTTTGAGATTTCAAAGGCAATGGGTTGGATCCCAGCTATGGCAGACAGGAATAAGACTTACCTTCATCTCAATCAACGGATCCCAAATGAACTTAAATTTGATCTGAATTGTCTTCTTTACACACATGGTAAGAAATGTCGTAATTGCATAAAGAAAGGAGGTAACCAGAAAAGAAAGGAATCTCAAGATAATCCATGTCCTCTATGGAATTACTGTAAGAACTCTGACATGAGATAACTGACAACCTGAGTTATTGGATCTGAATCTAACAGTCTTGGTTCTCCCCTTTTTTTTCTTCATGTACCCGAAAGATTATACAGGTGACTCAAAGTGAGGATCTATAATGAAGTTGTTCATGATTATTTGTGAATATATGGTATCATTTAAGTGAGTTTAAATTTATGATAAACAGCACACAATTCTAGCCCCTTATTGTAGACCTTTCCAGATTTTGCATGAGATTCAACATTTAGGTGACTTTGCAGCTCTTGAACTTGCTGCCTATCTTTTTTCCTCTGAAGCAATGAATAATTTAAAGAAAGATGAAAGAAAGTCAGGTTAATCAGAGATGAGGGAATAGTTTCTAGATATTCCCTCAAAATTCAATAGTTTCTAGATATTCCCTCAAAATTCAATAGTTTCTAGATATCATCAAAGCTTCAAAATAATAATGTTTCACAATCTGACAAAATTTTCACAAGTCATTCAATAATAGTAGCTACTGCTAAACATTGCTGTAAATAGATGCTTATGGGTATAAAGTATTGCGTTTGCATGGTTGTAAACAATATACTCAGATCTTTTCTCTACCCTCTATTACTATTAGTAGGTGCTGAAATCATAATATCTTATAATATTATTCCTTTACTTCTTTTAGTCCAATTGCAGCTATTTCATTAGTATAAGGTTGGAGGAACTGTTATGTGGATGTTCAGCTAGGAGCTGATTAGTCACAATTCTGAGGAAAATATTATAGTTAAGTATGTAGTGGGGAATTAGTTTGAAAGTTATTGCTGTCCTACCTAGCACACCCATCTTCTTTTGACTTTGGGGTTACCTTGGATTTTCTTACTGTCATCATCTTTATTTATCATACATGTACCTTAAAATGTTCCAATGGTATTGTAATTGTATTTACTAGTACCAAGTTGCTCATAGGCCTAGATTTTTAGAAATAAAATATTTCTGTTTGATTTAGAAAATTTGATGCATATCCTTGCAATTTGTTAAAATATATTCCTATAATTTGCTGGTGCTTGATGGCTCATTGATCCAATCATCTTTTCCTCTTTTCCTTTTGATGATTCTAGATGCCCTTTTTGTTCTTACCTGTAAAATATCTTCTGGTTGGTCGTCATTTTCGTTAACCAATCAAGTCAGTGTTTTATAAAGTGGAAAATAAACCAAAGATATATGAGGTATCTTAGACTTCTCATTTGAGAGAATAGGAACAACCATAGAACTAGACTGCCTTGCCTCTAGTCTCTTTTCCTGTAAGTCCTTGATTGATAGCTTCATTGTGAAATTCACATGGAGGAGAATCAACTAAAATTATTTGGCTTTAAGGTAGACCTCTACACCACAGGTAGGAAAGGTCATAAGCTATCTGAGGAGAGGAATGGAAATGTTAAGTCTTCATACAAAATTTTATCTAAGATTGAGAGGAGAGTTAAAGAGAAAAGTTCTATATCTCAACTGGAGTGCAAGAAGTATGAATGTAGATTTTGCCTTAAGGAGTTTATGAATGCACAAGCATTGGGGGGTCACCAAAATGCCCATAAGAAGGAGAGGCTGAAGAAGAGAAGATTGCAACTTCAAGAAAAGGACACCTGTAGTGTTAATTATCCTTCTTTGCCATGGTTTGATTCTTTTTCTTTTTGTCTACCGGAATTCACACTCTACAAGGAGTCTGTGGTTAGCCTCAAACCCTTAGGTCAGAGTCAAATCTATAGTTGTGATTCAAGTCATATAACTCATAACACCAAATCTGTTAGTCTTGCTTCTCATAATCCATTTGCAGAGAACACTAGTGGCAGACCTGTCGTCATCAAGCCATCTCCGTTTTATATTTCGAAAGACTCTGGAAGTCTTTATCATCAGTTAGGTCTTGCACCACAACCAGATATCTACAGCTTCTCTGAAACTGGGTGCCAGAGCCAGAAAGTGTAAAGTATGCTCATCCTCTGTTGTGCTTTGTATTTTAAAATTATTCATTATATTATTATTATGGTAAGTTGTATTGGGGTGGCACGGAACTTAGATGCAGTATATTGAGACAAAGGTCAAATTGCTGATGAAAGCCGAAAAAGAAAACTCTTTTTCATTAGCTTTTTACTTTTCTTATTCATTCTGAGTTTCAGTCCATGGTCAGGAATGCTTTGGTTTTATTGTAGATAGAGTTGATTTTTGTTGTAGCTGCGCTTTATAATTGATGAAAAAGAACATTGCGTGTGCCATTGTAATAAAATTAGGATTGGATGTTGGTATTTGATGATCTTTTTCTCTTATGTTTAAACAGATTTTCCTATCCAGATAATATTAGGCCCAACTTTAAACTTTAGTTCCCCTTTTATTGTGTAAGGAGCAATGTAGATAAAAGGAAAAGAAGAAGATGATCCCCTTTTATTGTCTCTCATTGCGTTTTGCTTTCAACAGGGAGTCGTATCAAGGTTGATCAACTCATTAAAGAATGCTACAACTTCTGTTTTATTAATAAAGTGACCCATCAAGCAAACATGATATAAGGTAGAGTTATTTGCACATAATCGGAATTGCGTCCTGGATTGGATTGTAAATACTTGTTGGATCAGATTATTCTTCGCTGAAAATGAATATCACTTGCTGTAGTCTGTGCCAATTTAATCTATGTTTCTGTTTACCATTGAATTAAATAACAAATTGTCATACGCTTCTAAACTTTCTGATATGAATCAAAGCAACCTTGGGGGTGAGTTTGAGATTCCTTAACTTCTCCTATAATCACTTGTTCCACAAGCTATTACTTTGAAATGTGTTTGACAAACACATTTCAAAAGTGATTATCGAAAAAGTAGATTGTTGCATAATCTATTTTATTGAAAATCCTCAAAAACAGCATTTAGATTTGAAAAGATGTTCTTGGAGAACTAATTACAAAAATACCCCAAAAAAACTTGAATTATAAGTTTATTTATTTATTTATTTATTAAGATATATAAAATAAACTCTCAAAAAATTAAAAATAGAAAAATGGAAAACTGGCTGACAGAGTCGTCCGTGAAGGTCGACAGCTATTGTTGATGAATTCTTTGACGACAAGTGGGTAGAGACCATGGGCATTGATGCACTTGTCCTTAAGCAATCTATGCAACCGTGCTGATAATGTTGTCAAATACTTTGCCGTTTTTTTGTAACGGGTAAACAGAGTTTGAATTAGTCGGCAATTAGCAAATAGCGATTGGGGGTGAAATTGAGCCGGGTCGAGTTGAGTATTTGAGTACTCGGAACTCGATTTAGTTGCTACATTACCAAGTTTGAGTTTGAACTCGAGCCTGGTTGAGCTTGATGAATCGAGTTCGAACTCAAACTTGGTACCTAAAAGTCGGGTTCGAATTCGAGCTCAATTAATCAAGTTTTAATTGAGCTTTTCATGCTAAATCGAGTTTTAATCAAACTTTTCGAGCTTAATCTAGTTTTTTGTACAATGATCAAACTCAACTCGTAGGATTATTCAAGCTACTCTAACTCGAACTCGACTTAACTAATGCCAAGTTGAATTCGAGCCAAAGCCAAGCCGAGCTCAAGCAGCTCGCGAGTGGTTCGGCTCGATTTTCACCCCTACCAACTATAGACTAGTTTTCAACTTTTAAAATTTTATAACTTTTTATTTTAATTATATTAAATAATGAAAGTTTTAATATGATTAATAATAGAAATTTTTTTTTTTTATTTATAAAATATGTATTTTGGTGGCATGGCCTTTTCTTAAAATCAAAAGTATTAAAATTTATCAAGACAAAAATGTTGAATTTGACATTAATTCTCCTTAGGTTTGTTAGATATTAAGACAAAAATTTAAATAACAATATATCAACTATGTCAAATATCATGTCATGTCTACCACAAGAGTTTGAGTCCACCCTTCATAAATTCAACTAAACCTATTGCATTTAAAATGATTACACAGACCATATTTTTTCTCTTCATTCAAGTAAAATCAAATGATTAGAAGAAATTTTACTGTGATCAATCAAATTATTATATTATAATTTATTAATAGATATTCCCTTTTCTCAATTGAATATTTGAATTCCTACCATGGCGGGCCACTGCCGAGTGAGATGCTAAAGCATTTACAGTGTGCAACCCATGTCAACAAGATCAATGAAACAAAAACATCTTTCTCCTTCGTTATTCTAGTATATTTAGTAAACTAAAATAAATCAACAAATATTATGTATAATCAGAAACAAATCATCCCCCTTCTCACCATATCATTTCATGAATTCAAGGAGAACAAAAACAAATCATCCAAACATCCTTCTGTTTCTCATCACCAACACCTCTTAAGCCACCGAGTTAGGAGCATCGCATCGGCGCCTCACCTCGCCTCCTGGGTCTCCGTCAGTCTTCACCTCAAAATTACTCATCTTCACCATCGCATCTGCGAAATCCTTATAGAACGCCGTCTCATTTGCTGCATACATTTCCACAATAGGCCTTGTTCTTGGGTCCGTAACAAGTACATTATCAGTCGCCAAAAGCCCCAAACCCTTTGGCAAATTCTTGTAATACTGGTTATCAAACTTTCCTGGAGTCTTAACATCATTAAAAGCTGACATTGTCACGTTCGTCGCTGGATTCGCACACAAATTTTTTAGTGCTTCTGCGTAGGCAGGCTTTAGTCCCGGATCGGTTGGGGTTTCGGCGGAGTAATTAAAGAGCCTTTTACTGAATTGCTTGCAGTTTGAGAAACCAATGGTGTGTGAGCCCAACAAAGCCACCATTTCTTGAATGCTGAAGCCCCTGTCGCCAAAATATTTAATCATTTGATCCCCATTCATTTCAGTACTGGGAAGACTTCCGGTGACGCGGGTGGCTTGCGAAATCAAGCCGTCTTTGCGTCCGAGCTGGACGGGGTAATGGGGTCCTCCCACCATCACGACAAGGTTACGTGTGGAGGCGGCGAGAATATCCGCACAGGAGACGACTCCGGGGCAGGAAAGCTCCAAGGCGTTCTTGATTCTAGAGATGATTTCAAAGCCGTCCCCGGGGAGGGAAATGTTGTCTTCGTGATCCTTCTCGGCCTTGTTGTCGGAACTTGAGCCGATAAGAATAGAAGCGTCGCAGCCTCCGGTCATGCAGTCGTGGAAGAAGAGGCGGAGGGTGCCGGCTGCGGTGGTTACGAATTTTGATTGCTTTTCGTGAACTTCTTCGCGGACAATGCGATCAAAATCAGGGCATGATGTTTTGTAGTAGTCAGGATTGAGAGGGACGGATTGAGAAAAGGGAATTATTGAAACGAAGAGAATGAGAAGAACATGTTGGTAAATTAAAGTCATGGCTGTAGTGACAATAACGAGTCTGAGAGGAAGCTGAGACTTGCTCCTTCCTTCCTTCTCAGACTTCCTAAAAAATCAAAGCAGAAATGGAGTCATGAAGATGGAGACGGGTGGTGAAGGTAAGAGGCTATAAGTCATATGGCTGAGAGGGGTTTTAGGAGAATGGTTTTTGAATCCATTGATGGTTTGAATGGTCTTAATCCATGGACATGGTCTTCCCAAGGACTGGATTTATTACCTGATTAACACATACTAAATTTCATCCTCACAATTTGGTAACTGTAAATCTGTAATACTGGTCAACCTTATATAATCTGCTATGAATTTTTCTTCTAATAAGTCAATGTCAGAAAAATCGTAAAATTCATTTTTATTAATATCTTGATTAACTAAATTAAGGATAAAGCATAATTATTGTAGTTTATTATAAAATTATTTTATGAGATAAAATATGTTAATTTGTCATCATATATATATTGTCACGGGATGTTCGGATCAATTTGTACGTACCTCAACTAATCTCTTACGACTCTTAAATTGAGAGTCAGGTAAATCATTTCAATGGTCACCTCTATTAGTAATCCATGTGAATAGAACTCAAGATCTTTTGATTAATACACCCAAAAGTTCTAATTGATTACTAAACCACCTAATGGTGATTTTTTAGTCATCATATTTATAACAATGTAATTGAATTTACCAGACATATATAAACCGTAACATTTAAAAAGCAAAAAAAAATTCAAAAGTCAAAGTTTATAAAGTACAAAAAATTTGTTTAAAACTAATTATCAGTTATCACCAATAAACATTTATTGTATAAACCATTCTTGATTTCCAAGTTCCGAAAAGACTTCATTTATTATTTAACTGGAAAAGTATAGAAAAATAAATTCAGTTTTTTTTTTTTTAATTAAAAATCAGTTTAGTAAATAAAAGAAAAAATAGATTTTTAAACTGTAAACCCTAAAAATTCCCAATCTCCCTTTTATACCCCTTCTTCTATCTTTCCTCCCCATCCCACCGCCCCGAATACCCCACCGCAAATTTTCTCTCTGTGCCCTGACCTCGACACTGCACGCCTTAAAATTCTCCACTACAATGACCACTACGTGTGTTTCATTCTCTTCAATGTTATCTTTTTATGAAGTCCCACCGGAAGCTAGTGCTTGCTATCTAAGAGTTGCTCCATGGATCTCATCGGTTTTGTCTCGGCCTCCACAAAATCAACCACCACCACTACTACCGCATAAAACGCCACATCTACAACCTCCACAACAACAAAAACAACAACCACATCTAAAACCCAATATGCATTGTCGTCCATCCTCACCAATTTCTTATTCTCCTAACACCCAAATGTCATCGATCGTCACCAATTTCTTATTCTCCTATGAGGGTGTCGCTTTGGGAATAGGTGTAACCCTAGCTTACAGCAATGCCTTACGGAACTTGAGACCGCTCTGCCAGTTCGAAGTCTCAAATCCTGCGGCAAACGTCTCAGATACTCAGGCGACATCCCCAAGTTTGACACTTTAGTACCTTCAAAAGGCTATTGCCAAATGCTCTGGTTCCTTTGTGAAATTAAGTCAACTTTCCCGAAAGCAAGAATGGAAAAGTTTATAAGGAACCGCCCCAGTGATTAATGAATTTTATGGTTTGAGAGCGGTGAAGCGCGGTGACTATAGAGAATATTTACAAAATTCAATTTTGATGAAATTCTCCGAACAATAGCCAAGCCAGGAACTTCTAGGAAAGTTTCTGGAGGCTCCTTGAAGAGTGAAACAAGAATCTGGTAATACTTTGTATGTGCCAGATTGATCCTTGATACCCATTACAGCACTGTTGACGCTGTAAGGGCAGTCCTGATTTACGCCATTTACGCTAAAAAGAAAATGAACGTGCGACATACAGCAATGTTGCGCTGCAAGGGCAGTCTTGATTTACGCCACTTTCTGATATGAAATCATGTTTCCAATTCTCATTCCTTCCAAACACACAACAATCTAGCACAAAAAACACACAAGCTTTAACCAACACAAATTCGGCCAAGACAAAATCAAGCACTTTCAATCTCTTTTAACACCTTAAATCATCAATCCTAACATGCTAACAATCCCTAAGATCAACCAATCAAGACACTTCATAAATTGAGGCAAAGATTTCACACACATAAACCAAAACCGAGAATAGGAAACTGGGAACCAAAATGCAAGTAAGTTACTAGGATATATTGCCAAGGAACATTCAAGCTTAAAGGAGACTCCACCGGCTTGAATTAATCCACCACCAAGCTTAGGTAGAAACTTAGATAAAGGAAATACAAGAAGATTCAACTCCCATTGAAATACCATTCATCATATTCATTCACTCTAACATTACAAAAGTGGGAGAGTTGCTTTTTATAGGCATTACAAATAAAAGGAATTGCCCTTTACAAGATATTGCAAATATTACAAAATATTACACATCATTTAAGGGCTTTATTTCCCCACCACAAATTCAAAACATAAGCCATATCCATTTAATGCAATAGTACAATTACTCTCTTAATTTTAAGATTTATGTCTCTAACAACTAATTAACTTGATTAACACCCATCCATTGGATCAAATGACATTCATTTATTGGGCTTGGGCCAAATAAACCTCTCCACACTTGATACCCACGGTTAAAGGCCTTCAGAAATGTCTTGGACCTTTAGTACTCCATAGACAAGCTTGTGAATTTCTTTGCGTGATTAGGCCGATTGGTGCATACCTTGTAAAACTTAGGCTTCTTAATTCTTCAATGGAAATTCTTGCACAACTAAAGAACCATTTCGGCCTAGAATCTCATCATTTACACTAAAAAGAAAATGAACGTGCATTATACAACACTGTTGACTATGCAAGGGCAGTCCTGATTTACACCATTTACACTAAAAAGAAAATGAACGTGGGGCATATTATAATGGACAACATCAAGCATGCAGTAAGACCTGCTCAAGCAAGTTACCCTTTTCCCTATCTCATCACTACTCTATGCAAAAAAGCAAGGGTTGATAGTTCAGATGATGAAGTTCAATTTCATCCAGCTCCATTTCTGAACGACAAATTTTTCAACAAGCTCTAATTCAAGAAAATCGACATCAACGGCAGCCACAACCACAACAAAAAAGCAACTGCAACAACTACAAGCAAGCATGAAGTCCATGGAGAAATGCCAAGACTAAATGGGAAATCAAATGCGAGTAATGTTCGAGATGCAGCGTTAGTATTTCGCTAGCCAGGGCATGGATGTGTCCCCTTACCAATGGTAGGATTGGCTGGACTACGAAGATCAAAATCCTGATGATGCCATAGAGGAAGATGAAGAAAAGGATGAAGATGAAGATGAAGAGGAAGACTGAATCCTGAAACCATTAACTTCAGGATTTTCATCTTCGTAATCTTGCCATTTGTTAAGCCTGAAAAAGTAGGGCTGACGCAAGACCCAATCAACATGAAGAGTTAGAGCTTAGATAGGTTCGTAGCCAGTCAGAGGCATCCTCGTCATGCAATGACAGGGACGGCATACTCTTGTCAGGGCAGTGGGTGCGCGTCAGATTGGTCAGGGCCTATAGCGATCCCACGTGTCTAATCCCTGCACCAAATCGCGCAAATCACTCTTAGAAGGTGGGTAATAGGACATAAAGAAGGATTTGCACGGATAATCCCACCAACTCACAGATTTAGTAATGATAACTGTAATCCATCCCACTATAAATTGAGAGCTCCTCTCTCATTTAAGGGATTAGCTAATCTCTCTAAAAAAAATATAGCATCCTCTCTCTTGTATAATCATTCGTAAGTCAGTCCGCTGAACGCGACCTGACCACTATCATTAATACAAAATCAGTGGACGTAGGATTTGCTTCCTTAGCATTTGAACCACTTTAAACGCTGTTCTCCATTATTGTTACTCATACATTCATCCACGCGTGTCTTCTGGGCCAGCTCAGCATTTCACACGTGCATTTGGTTGGTGTCAAAATCACGCATCAACAGTTTGGCGCTAGAAGGAGGGCCTGATTTAGTATTCGTCCTTCATCAGGAGAATTTCTGACTAACTGGTCCTACAACAGCAAATGGCTTGCCGACTCAAACCTGAGCAAACCCATCAGGGTGCTGGGGAGATCCCCCGAGCACAGGAGGGCGCCTCTCCCGAGACACCTCCTGTTCAGCAAAATGTTGTGGGGGATATCCCTTTAAGTTCACAACTTGGCCCTGCCATCAGAAGCTACTTGGAGAGGTTCGACAATACTCTCCAAACGGTCAACCGAAACCGGTGCATGCCACCCGAATCAAATGAGGCGGTGCAACCACCAAAAAACCCTGTAGGTAGTCGCACGAAAGAGCAACAGAGGGCGATAGCCCACGTTGCGAGCACTGTAGCGCGCCGAAAAAAGGGTAAACAAGTGGCGAAAAATGGACCTAAGGGCTCCAAAGGGCCGGTGAACATCGACCACGTCCCGAATAGAATACCTGTGGCGTTAAGACTCGGTGAAAGGTCACAGCTCAAGCCGTCCCATGCCGCGTCGCATGAAAACCCCCAAAAAAGTGCTGGGCTAGGCGATTCTCATCACCGCCATAGAAACAATCTTGAGCATAGTCATGCGAGAGGTTCCCACACTCCGCAGGGCAGTTCATACCACAGCGGAGGTCATGAAAATTCCCTGCACTATTCATTACCATTACATGGCTTTAGCCAGCATGTGTCAAGAGCGGCCGGAACTGTCGGCCGAGGCGAAGTGGAATCCGACCTCTGGACTTTTCTCAACCTCAACCATGAGGGTCGAACTCGCATGGGGGAAAGCAATCCCTAGATAGCTCCGCTACACCAGATTGAGGAGCTGCAGTGAGCTCTAGACCAGCTAAGAGCACAGCAAAATGAACAAGGGCAGGTCACGTTAGCGTCCCCCTTTTCTCCGGCAGTACTAGCCGCCCCTCTCTCGTCAAGATTTAGAATGCCCGACATGTGGGCGTTTGATGGAAATTCTGATCTGCAGGATCACTTGTATGAATTCAACGACCTGATGGAGCTTCACCAGGTTTTAGATTTGGCAAAGTGTCGTT